CTTTACATGTATTTAAAAGAATGTGCAACAATAGCAATCACGATGAAAATATAAACGATAGATTTTATGTTTTCAAAAAAACAAGAAAAAAAAACAATGTTTAAATATCAATTTATATTTGTTTTTTTAGTTTAATAATAAGAATATTTTCGAATTATTTTAAACATCAATCAGAGTTAAATTTATTTTCTTATTATTTTAAGGATACACCCATATATCAATAACAATTAGCAGTTTATAATCTATAGTAGTTAATTTGAACTTTGAAGAATGCTTCAGAATCAGAAAAGAACAGTAAAATATGAGTCGGTGCCATTAAATAAACATGGAAAGCCTTAGTTCTGCCGTTAAAAAAATAAAAATAAAATACAAATATTTGCTCGTTATTTAACAAAGAGTTTTCTGTGCAGGGAGTCTTGGCTATCGATCTCTCTCTTTTCATCTAATTAATATTTTCTTAATTTATTTTTGGATCTGATAAATTCTTAGTTTTCCCAAGGTTTTGTTATTTTAGATTTGATGTTAACCAACATTTTTGTTACAATGACAAAATGCATACAGATCCAAACATTAGAAAGCGACTCTCTTCTATACATGCACCATAAATATTTCTTCCACGAATTGATCAGTTGGGTAACCTAATATTTTGTGTTTGTCAATTTCTGCAAAAAGAAATATCCACGTCAAAAATCCACTTGTTTCTTAGTGGTCGACTTATCTATATCGGTTTGCTACGTTTAGCCCAGCTAAAAATGGACATTTATCATCTCTCTTCATTCACATGCCATTATGTACTGCGTATTCTAAATAAATCAATCTTGTATTTTTTTTATCATAATATGTTAACTAAATAAACTAAAACAAAACGATAACTTACTGTTTCAAACACTATTTATACATTAATATTTCACTATTTATTTATTTTTTATACTTTGGTCTTTGATCTTTGCCAATGAATCTTTCGATTCACATCTTCATTTGCTCATTTATTTTGATCCCTAGATGAGAGAGAAGGAAAGAGGAAAGAGAGAGACGAGAGGAGAGAGAAAAATCGTCGACCAAGCTTATTTAGATCGCTTTGGCCGGTGAAAATCCACTAAATTTGTTTATCTTTGAGAGATGAATTTGTCCATAGTTGTTTCAACCCATTAAACAATTAGAGGATGTAGATCAAAGTCAAAAAAGGAAAAAAATCCAATTTGATTTTGTTTATTTTTTGTTTTTGTGTGTATTAAAATGATTTTTAAGTTTTAAATGTGTTTATTAGCTTTATTTTGGTCATTTAGAAGTGTTTGAGGGAAAAAATAATGTCGGAATTCAATTTCTAAGGATCTAAAAGTTGACATTCGATTTTCTCACGAACTTCCAATGACCACAGGTTTTCCGAAGTTGCAGGATTTTTTTTTATTTTTTTCAAGTGTCTAGTTACACAAACCAACCAAACGCTGTCCTGGTTGGCCTGGTTGGTTTGTGCCAACCAGACACCTATCCTGGATGTCCTCCTTTTTTTTCTTTTTTTCCTTCCCTTTATATATTTGGTTACAATTAAGGAGTGCTGCAATTTCGTGTAAAAGTGTTACAATTACGTGTAATAGAAATGCACTAGAAATTAAGGAGTGCTGCAAATATCTAGTTCCTCTTTTGTTTTTTTTTCTTCCTTCCTTCCTTTATATATTTTAGGTTTAAATTATATATTACAAATTTTTATTTAGGAATCCCCGAATAAAGAAAAATAAACCATATTTTTTTAAGTAGAAATTATATGAAAAACAAAATAATAATAATAATGAATAAAAAATTATAAAATTTTGAAATGATTTTGTTCTATCTACCTATTGTGTTGTGTGGATAATTTCAAAAATTAATCATTTTATCAGCATTAATTAAGAATTTTTTTTCCATTTGTTTGTTTTGATAACAATTTATTTATTAATTATAACTTTATTTTTAAAGAAAAAACGATGAAAAAGAAATTTGGAAAGATTTTTTAATTCTTGATTAAAATCAATTTATACATAGAAATGATTTATGTTTTTTTAAGCAAAAATTTATTAAAAAAATTAAAAAATTTAATTACATACAAAATGATAATTAAAAATTTTTTAAATGGTTTTGTTCAATCAAACCCGCAACGTAGCGCGGGTAATTGACTAATAAATATATAGAAAATATGTATATATACATACATACACGTACGTTTGTATCTATGTATATGCATACATACATTGGTGCATGATTGGTCATTTCTCCTTCACCTCTCCATATCATTCACCATCGTATATGATATGTCTAGCTCATGATCATATTCCATTTGTAATCAAATGAAAATGGAACATCAATATTGCTGCATTTGTTTATTCTTTGAGATAAATGCGAAGCAACCATTTTTATTCTTTTGTTAAGAGTCTCTAGCTGTACGCTCCTTGTTAATTTCTTTTATTCGTTTCCATTAATTTATTTTTTCTGCGACATTTTTAAGGTAAAAGTTTAAATGACATGGAGAGAGCAACACCAATATCCAAGGGACACGGAATATCTATCGACTTTTGAAGTCTTTGCTCATTTCTTGCTGTCTCCTTTCAAACTGAGATGGATAAGAAAGGATGATGAACCCTGTTATCTCTCTAGCATCTTTCAAATGAGAGGAAGCTGAAGTACTATTGAGAAATAATAATAATAATATCATGATTAATAATTAAAATCTAACGGAAATCTTTAATAAACATATAAAGTCGGTGTTGTTGGTGTCACTTACAGTTCTGTTTTCGTTTTTGTTGGCTGTCAAGGTTTTTAGGAACCATTGAAGATAGAAAATGAAAACCCAAAGAAGAAAAAAATTGCCGCATTGTATTATTATTTAAGGTCCAATAGATCTTCTAAATAAACAAATGTCACTTTGGTAGAATAACTCATGACTGACCAACTTTCTAATAATAACAAAAAAGGAAAAAAAAACACTTTCCAGTGAGAAATTATTACAAACCACTTGGTCATTAATTTGACATATTGTGCTGACACAATGAGATTCTTTGTACTAGCCAATCAAAGGGGGCTTTTTTTTTTTTCATTCGTTCTACGGATTAGATTTTCAGATTAACCTCCACAGTTATAAAACATAGCCTATCTATTAAACAAATTACATTCAAAATAGAACTTTAAAATACAAATCATGAATAAGACCATGACAGAAGGTTAAAATGTATTGAAATAATATATTTTAAGGAATCAATTCAATTTGAGTAATCCACCCAATGCAGAGAAATATAGGTTGGATTTAGATTTTCCTGAATTCCATTGGATTCGGTTGGGTCACTAAGCCCATGTTTTGCTACCAGTTAATGCACTCACAGGCCTTCAGCTACGCCCAGCTTCCAAGAAACAATGCCGAGCCTAAATTGAGGCTGCACCAATTTTGACATACTTTGCCCAAACATTCCAAACCTTTCAACACGGACTTCTAAATTAGAAAAACATTCTAAATATGCGATCCGAAAAGAAAAAGAAAAAAAAAGAAAAGAAAAGAAAAGAAAAGATAAAAAAAGAGCGATAGTTGCCAAATAGAAATTTTATAATACAAAATGAGTAATTACTGTACATATCCATAAGTCCACCATAGATCCACTTTAAAAAGAAAGAGACATTAAAAAAAAAAAAATCACATCTAGATGCATAAAAAATAATAAGATTTTCACGTTTGATTTTTTTTTTAATTTTCTCTCCTATTTAGTGGATTCAGATGCAATCATATATATATATATATATATTTTCAAAATGAATCCATAAAATAATTACTGTATATGTACAATATTTACTTTTTATGTATTATAATATTTTTCAGTGCCAAAGTATCATTTTAAATCCCTCCCAGGGACTAAAAATATAATTTACCAATTCATAACCAAACACCCTGTGACTCGGTGGTCGCCCGCTTCACTGTAGCACAACCTTTATTTATATTATTATTATAAACATCATCCTCTCTTTCTACCTATGAAGGAAGATTAAAGTCTGCACTTCCAAAGCATGTAAGGTCCTATTTTATACAATGAAGATCCTCCTATAGACACTCCTCCCTCTTCCCTCTTTGCTATAAACTGCTCAACCAATACTTACATAGATTCCTACTTACTGCTAGAGGTTCACCCAGGCCATGAATCCATGCCCAACAAGAAGGCAAGAAAAACAGTTTCAGTTAGCTACAGTTATAGTAGCATGCACTTCCCCAACAGGCAAAAGGATCGAATGCCAAACACGGAAACACCAATTTGATAAAACGACAGCAGATGTCACCTTTTTCCATTTCTTGCTGGTAATGGACAAATTTCGTTCAGATTGCCAACATCATAGGACAAACAGTTTGGAGGAACCAAGTATTAGACAGAACTCTCAGCCATCAAGTTGAACAATCGAAACAAATCGAATTGTCACTGTAATCACTGAAATACGGATGTTTAATTCAAAAGTGGGTGGGCAGATCTATTAAAGCTGTGCTTTGAGACACTTTCCAGATATTCCTATGTGTGAAAATTACAAGCTTTTAGATGTGAAAATGAAAAACATATGCAATATGTTGACAGGAGTGCTAAATGAGTGATGGAATTTGAATGTAAAGATTGGGCCTGTGACTACAAATCAGATTACTTTGTTGAGTGAAACTTAAACAACGAGTTTGACATTCCTAAAATGTACTGAAGAAAACAACAATAGCCCCAGAGAATTTAGTCCAAAACTCAATTACAACGGAAAAGAAAGCTATTCAGAACATGGTCAAAGTTGGTGTATACATGAAAGGAAATTTACACCTCAGAGTCACGCAGTATAAGACAACAGGTAAGGTCGAATTCTTAAAGCAAAACACCATGATACACAAAAGAAAAAACTAAAGCAAAGACCAGAAAATCACAATAGAAAATTAGTTCTCACAGGCATCCTAGCATGTGTGCCTGTCATTGTCCTTCGATCAAACTTTTGACCAGAAATAACAAATAATTGGTGATATATCAGAATTCAAGATACAAAGTTACCATTCTATGCATTTTGAATGGCAATGTTAATCTCCAGTCCCTCCTTTTACGGCTTAATGGTCTGCCTTTGCTCTGAGGGTCCCTGTTTTCCTTCACATCTGCCAACTTCCATACACAGTTCTCTGATTCCATTTCCATGGACTCCAGAAGGAAGACTCCATTTGTTTCTGAGCCATTATATGTTAAACCTTCTAAATAGCATACTCTCATGGGCATGTCTTTAAACCGAGACAAATCATCTGGTACCTTCAGTATCCTCTCTGCCCCAGGAGATGACACCTTCAAGACAAGAACAATGCTATCTTTTTACGTGTCATTATGGAATTATGCAAAACCTTAATAGAAAGATAATAGAACATTGTGCAAGGAAAAATAGAGAAGAGCAGCCAACCATAAATTACCTCAACAGCCAGATTGTCAGGTATTTCTCCAAGTGCTCTGACTTCCTGCAATCTTTTATTATATTCTCGAGAGTAGCTTTCAAGCTCCTCCATGCCGGGACATCCATATCTGATGAAAGATAATTATGGATGTTAAATGCCCATATATGAGAAAACAGACTATCTTCCATAAACAAACTGGCAGACATAGATGGGCTGTATCCTATTAGCTAAATTTTGGGTATTGTGAGAGGAATGCAGCACAAGTGTGTTTAAATGAGAAGAAGCTTCTCCCACTTCCTTAAAGGGTTTTCAGGTTAGAGTCTTAAGACTATCTCATTTGCACACAGCAAATACAGTATTTTGCTAATGACAAGGATTTCTTCCACTTTGCCACTTAAGTTCTAAATTGGTACTTAATCAGCTACCTAAGTACACAAGATACAAACTGCAAACTGAAATTCAAAGCAATAGATAATCAATTATCTGTGTTTCCAAATTCACAAGATGAGAAAACCTTACTGTTGGGACAGTTTATCAAGTCTGACATAAACATATCCGCGAGGAGTAGTCTTGAAAGAGAAGAGTTTGAAATCATCACCAAATGGCAATAACACCTGACGAGCAATAGAGAGAGCTCGCTCGCCCCAGGGTAACCCTTGCAACATAACTCCACCACCATCCCCACCATCACCTAACTATATTAATTCATGAAAAAAATAACTAACACCATGAAATTTTGACAATCAAGTATAGTATATGAAAACGAGAATTTCTATAAATTAAAAACATAGTACCTTTGGCTCCAACTCCTCCTCTTCTTCCCATCCATCTGATTCAACATCTTCAGTTCCGTCATCTGTAACATCACAATTATATATATATATATATATATATATATATATATAGGAATAAGTTTTTAAGTTCCAAACCCATCAGCATAATCAAGTTTGATAGCTAAAAATCTTTTTTTTTTCAAAAAAGAGGAGAGAGAGGGGATTACAGTGAAGTGGGTCATCTTCGCTGCTATTCTCTTCATTGGTAGCATTATTACTTGTCTCAGTGGTGGTAGTAGTTCTTAAAAGCCGAGGGGTTAGAGGAGGAGAAAAATGTAGAGAAGTGGCTTGGTTTGAAGAGAAACCAAGACAAAGAGAAGGAGAACAAAAGGAAGACTTTTGAAGGATTTTGATTGCATATTCATTTGTCTGTGCGGGCGAAGAAAGAGAGGCTTCTAATGGCAGTGGAAGTTGGTAAAGATGGAGAAGAGAAAAGTAGCCGGCGACAACTGTGTTGTTGTAGCAGATGCTGGATGATTCGCCCACTTCCCATTGTTTTATTACCGCCACCGCTACCGCTATTGCTATTTGTGTCTCGCCTCTCGCCGTCGCTCTACTTGGCTTCTACCGCAGTGGTTGTGCCGGCGGTCCGCTGTTCTACTCGTTGTGCCATTTAATTCGTAGATTTTTTTTTTTTTTTTTTTTTGAAGTGGCTTTCCGTGCCCGGCTTCACGTTAACGGTGACATTCATTTTTTCGGTTCTATTTTTAACATTTTTTTATTATTTATTTAATTAAACTCATCGAAAGAAAAACAGAATTCAAATCGAATTTCTATTCTATTTTTTTTACAGTTTATGAAACCAAAATTTCAGCTTTCAGTTTTTCAGTAAAAACTGATTTTCTTTTAAACTTTTATTATTTTAATTAATATTAATAGGTCATAAAATTATTTTATAAACTATGGAGTCTTTTCTCTAACTCAAGTGATCTAAAATCAATTATATAAAAAATAATAAATATTTATTTCAATAAATTAAAATATAAAAGCATAGTACATAATAAAATATCAAAATTTACATACAAATTCATTAATTCACATTTAAAATATATAATAAAAAAATTATTAATTATTTAAATATATTATAAATCAAACTATTAAAGTTTAAATAATAACCAAAAGTTCAAACATGTTCTAAAAATATAAATATATATAATTTTGATTTTTAATGAAAACTTAATTAAAAATTTTAAAAACCAAATCGAAACTAGATAACCAAAACTGATTCAATTTTGTTTTTTTAAAGGAATTTATTTAAAAACTAAACCGAATAGAAGTTTCAGTTTCAGTTTCAATCAAAATCTGAAACATGCTAAAAACCACATGGCCAACGCTTTAACATGCCTTTACGGCACGGGTGTTGATATGATAAGAGTTCTTGACTGCCATCTTCGCTGCTGCGCTTTTTTTTTTTTTTTTTTTTTTTTTGAATGGGCGAAAAATCATGAAAGGCCATTGCATCTCATTTTCTTCTCTTCCCTTTCCTTCCATCATCAAAGTTCAGCTTTGGAGAGGAAGAGCGCATATTATAGTGGCTAGATCAAAATCACTAATCGCTCACCTCATCAACTGAAGTTGATAGCTATGAGTTCAAAGTGAGAAAATATACTGATTTATTTTTCTATCACTACGTAATATACAAAGTGGCCTCAGAGAAAATAAAATCGCAAAACTGTCCCATCTAACACCCAACGCCCAATTTTATACTGCAAATGCAGATAGCTCCTGCTACACTGACATGTGACCTCAAAACGACTCGGTTTTCCCAGAAAAGTGATTTTTGTCAATTTATCATTTATACACTTAGATCCTTTAAATTATTAATTTATATAAAACATTCCCTAATGTTAATTAATATTACAAAAAAGTCCCTTGAATTTTTTTTTGACTGGATTGAATTTCCAGCCCAACCACATGAGCCTGTTTTTCTCCAGGCCCGCCGGCCTTTCTTGCTTTTTTCTTTTTTATGCTTTTATCTTTTCACTTTTTTTTAATTCAAAATATTTTTTTTCCATAATTGATTGTTGGTTTTTTATTTTTATAAAGATTCATTAATTAAAATTAAATATTCTTCTAATATAAATTGATTAAGCACCTCTTTCTAATTTTTTTAAATAAATAATTAATTGCCTTTTTTATTTATCAAAAAAACATTCCAAAGATATATTTACAGTCAATTATATACATATTATTAAATATTGCATAATACATATTAAATTAAACAATTTTTTTACAACATGCTGGTATTGGGCTAATTTATTGGCTAATTTGCCTCTAAAAGAGATTTACAAACAAAACACAGCATTGCTTGAAAAGGAAATAGGCTGTAGAATGGGGAAGAAAAAGCACCCTCATTTACAAACATGTGACTATCTACAGTCGAAGGATAGTTCGAAGAGTGTCACAAAGATTTTGAATGGCTTGTTTCTCTTGCGTTGCTTGCAACTCTTGGAGCGGCATCTCTTCATAGCACCTGCAAGAAATGCAAGTACATGGTAGGTAAAAAGAGCAAGCAGCATCTAAATACAGTGCCTTAAACAGCCATCCATGCAACAGAGGTTTTTCCCCAAAACCCCAAAGAAACTTGGGAAAGCAAGAAATGATTTCTACAGAGAAGTTCTTAATCAAATAACTGCATAGGAACTAAGTGCCACATTTTATGCAAGCATTCACAAGATGATTAATAAATAGGCCTTACGTTTTGTGGTAGGCTAAAGCCTGTGCCAGATTCAGTAGCGTAGAACTTGAAGTCAGTCTTTGGTAAACACTTGGAGGAAGCGGCATCTGCAGCATGTAAAATAAACACAGATAAGCACAAGAATGTCCGTCAAGGGATGAGAGGGACGAGGGTTGGGAGTAATAACCTCGTTTTGTATCCTTCGGCCCTTTTTAGATGGTCCATCACCAGAAAAAGCTCCTGAAGTGCTTCTGCTGCTACAGTTCCACTATCATCACACTGGATGCCTCCAAGCACATTGTCTGACAAGAGAGCAATAGGGGATATGTCTGTGGCCCGCAAAAATGGAATGGGCACGGTATTACCAGCTGCATATATGGACCAAAGCTGCATAGAAATGACTTCCATATAAGCAGTCACAATAATCCACAAGAAAATAGAGAGTTAAATAGACAGATTAAGCCACTTGAGCATAACAGAAAGCGAATATGAACAAAATCATTTAAACTCCCAAATGAGTTCAGAATGAATATAACCTTATCTTGCAATGCAAAAGCTTTTCTGCTGACTGTTTCATTCTTCAAAGGGGAAGTGCCCAGACCACCACCGCCTCCAACCTGTGCTTGAGATGTGATATTTTTCTTGAGATTCTGCTCAGGATAGCCAGAAACTTCAGGGGTAGATGTCTGTAATGTCTGCAATGCAGGATGCGATTCTCCAACCAAAAGGTTGTTTGCAACAACCCCTCTTGCATTATCCAACCTAACAGAAAACCCAGTTAATCAGTGCACTCAAACTTTCAAGTAAAATAACATGAGCAGGCACTAGGCAATGGATATGGGAAGCAGATGACAACAATAACTAAAGGGCAGGGCCTAGCCCCCAGAAAAAATATTTGTGCAACATGTATGGGTATAATCCTATACTGAGAATAATCTTCTAACCAATAAACTGGGATCACCTTCTCTCAAATAAACATCAGAGTTAAATGGTGAGTGGAGTACCAGGGGTCAGGTGATTTGCTTCCTATCCCACTAACTGAAGGATCTTCTATGTTTCCTGGGTCTTGTGAGATTTCCCCTGCATCATATAATTCATTCTGTATGCCTGTCTTATCTGTTTTCTCTCCACCATGAACTACAAAAGTTCCATAGTCACCTGCATACAGATGAACCAGAAATGAGTAGGGAATCAGAAACATATCAAATCATCTTATGTTAGTCTAAACACATTTTCTACTAGGCCAAATACTCTCACTCATGTGTCAATGGATCACCAAGTTGTTGGGAGCTTCAGAAGGCAGCAGGCCTTGTCACTGAGGTTCAAACCTGACATGCCTACTGTGAAGCACAAACCAGAAACATCCCTAATTCGGCCAAATCTATTATATCAGTCTGGAATGGACAGTGATGGCTAAAAGGAGAGGAGTCCTATATGTTTCACCAGTGAGCTCCAAAGCTTTGATCCATCGAATTCAACCACAGCAGAATAAGATCAATAAACTTGGTTGAGGCCCCAACAGTAAGCAGAGTATCCATAAAAGACTTATCCAGTAACTCCATAAGGGGGCAGTCAAGGCCTGGTGGTAAATCCATCATATCGCAGACTAGCAACTACCAGCAATAACCTTTCTCAACTTTCCAGAAAAGATAGAGTTTGATGTAGACTACTAGCAATGAAGCTCTATACAGGCTTTTTATACCGTGCACCCATGTCTCCCCCCCCCCCCCCCAAAAAAAAAAGAAGAAAAGAAAAAAAAACACGATAGTGACAGTAAACTCTAAATTGTCAGAACAATTTTTTCCCTCCAATCATAGGACACAGGATGCAAGTGAAAACCTACCTCCTCCAGCCATATCGACACCATCAGAAGAGCTAGGCACTTCATTTGCCATAGGAAGTCGATTTGATGGAACAGTATCTCCATAAACCTCGTTCAGTTTTGGACCTTCAGTTGGCTGTTTCAAATTGAGATAAGTTAGGAAATAATGAATGATTTCTCAGAAAAAGTTAGAAAGAGTTTCATCAATTTCTAAAAAGTAGAAATTCGGCAATAAACCAACTTCTGGTTCAACTGGAGCAAGATTTTGTGCATGCAGAGACATTGTGGTCCTAATTTGCCTGGCCTTTTCAATCTTTGGCAACATTGCAGAGGCTCCAACTTTGCATCTATCGATAAATTTGTGCTAGGATCCATCAAAATACAGAAAAACAGCCCAAGTTAGACTTCATAAACAAAAATGTGATACATAAAGAAGTTTCAGGGAGAAAAATAATAAGAGAAAGTGAGAGACCAACAGAATAAACATTGAGAAAGAGGAATCCTGCACATGTTTCAACTTGTGCAGCTCATGACGTGGTTTTATCACTATGCAGAGCTATTCACCTGGATAAAATCATATGCCATTACTAGAAACCAACTCAACCCAACCCAAGTCTCCGTCCCAAACTAGTTGAGCTTGGCTACATAGGTCCGCTTCCTTTATTCAGGTCTCTTAACTGTTATAGCCTAAACTATGTAATGCATTATTTGAATATCATGTCACCAAGAACTAAATTCATCTTCTTCAAGTCATAAATGAGCAACCTTGTTATTCTGACAAGCCAAGCATGAATGTTTGTCAAAGACAAATCTTCAAGACAATTAATTGAAGACATGCCAATGTTTAATTTACACAATAATCTGGTTACAAGGTTGAGCAAGATATAGGCACAAGACGAACCAACAAGAGTAGCAAAGCATCATAAGGATCAATAAAAAAGCACTAGCAACATCAGAATTATGACCAAATCCGAATAAAAGAGCTCTCCAAGCCTAAAACACATGCAGCACGGCTCCAAGCAATCAGTACATCCTCCAATATACATATTTTCCATGTTGATATTTATATGTATCCATACCTTCAGCATCTCGGATGCTGTTGGACGTGAGCGTGGTTCCTTCGTAAGGCACTTTGCCACAAAATCATGGAATACAAGAGACCTGGCAGATAAAACAACACAAGGTTAAACACCACAACATATGCTGCCGCATCAAAAAAATATACAGGCATCGACTAGAGAATTGCCATAAAGGATTGTGGGTACAAAGAACTTAAGGACAAACCATTTTTCTTTATCCTCAAGCATCGGAGCTGGCTCAATGGATATCATGAACAAAACCTATCACAGATGATAAATATGCCAAACTTAAAATTTTAATTGAGAACAAAAGGTGTGGCATTAAACAACATTGATCAAATAAGCTCAAACGACGCCTGTGTGTCATATAGAGGAGGAGAATATGTGTATCGTCAATCATGAGCACATATTACCCATAAGCTTCCCAGCAAAAACTACATAACCAATCCACTTAAGACACAAAACGATTCCAAAATTTATTTTCTGACACAAGCCTAGTAATCTGAACATCATGATGGAAGAATATAAAAACTAGAAAAAACAACAAAAAACTAAATAAAGGGGAAAATGCTGACAAAATTGAAAGAACCACCTTATGTGTACTTTTTTCTAAATTTTTAGGTCTGAGCAGTTCATACCTGCTAATCATATAGCAATGGACAGAATGGCTCAAGCTAAATCCAAATTAAGCAAGGCCTATGAATCATGTAGCTCCTTTCATAGTAAAAGATTGCATTTTCAGTCTGTCCTTTAGACCCAAATAAAACACTTACAACTTTCCTGTATAGTATTAAATCAAGCAATTGAATGTGGATCACAAGCAGGAAAACAAGGTGGAAAATAACTAAGAATGCTCTTGGCAAAGCATGGATGGATCTTAGTTAATAATAACTAAAGGCATGAAAGTTCAAATGCTTGAGTAATCACTCACCCTCATAGGATGCACTGCGGATCTTGGGGGAAGTCCCTGAGGAAATAAATGAAAATATAGAAGATGTCAAAAAGAATTTCTTAGATAAGAAAAGGATGTCAAAAATGATTATAAAAAGAGCGACATATCTATGAGCATACATATCATTCATTAGATTATCAACTCCACCAGCACTAGAGTTGATACCGAATTTTTATTTGTCACTAATCGGTTTATGGATGGGGGAAAACAACACAGCAAACAAATCGAACAGTACTGGCTTTCTTTCTTAAGCTAGCTATATCTTATCCCAAGCTTGTATGTAGATGACAGCTTGAACAGCTTTTATTCATTTAGCACCGTATTACGACCAGGGACAACTTTAGTTACAACTACCACGAAGCAGCTCATTGGGAAAAGAACCACCATAAGCAGCTGCTATAAGAAACTAGCAACTTGGAAAACTATCTAGCTTCAAGGGGGAATCCTTGATATAAAAATTATAAATGCATATACCTCTGCCATTTCAATAGCAGAAACACCAAGAGCCCATACATCCACCTGAAAGAAAAATATGAAGTAATAGTAAGAAGTTAGTCATAACAGTGACTTGTGAGATGGGCCAATGTGAACTGCGCTTTCAAAACATCAATGCCTCCAAGAATCCAACAATTACATCATGCAGCCAAAGATAGCACTAGATATTTGAGACTGAAAACAAATTAAGGAAAAAAAAATACAAACAACAGAGGTTTCTGTCAAAAGATTTCAATTTCTTGTCAATTGGTCAACAGTCCTGCTTGAGAGATACATGTTGTTGGTTCAGTCAGTATAGTATAGTACGTGGAAACACTCTTGGAACCCAAAGCCAAGGCAAAATGAGAACGTGTGAACACCATATCTATGCACAAAATGTACTTTCAAGTCTGGTTACCCATTGACAACGGAAGAAAGTTGGAGATTAGAAAGAAAAAGAAAACTAATGAAAAATGGAAATGATACCTTTCCGTCATAACGACTTTCTTGAATAACTTCTGGAGCCATCCAATGTGGAGTGCCAATGAACTGCACATATAATAAAACTATCTAGTCCATAACAATACATAAAAGCATGAATTAAGTTAAAACAATTGGTTTGATAAAAATACCCATAAAAATTTTCAACTTAATAAGCAAACCAGGCAATCTAATTTTAAGAAAAAATTGGACAACCAGAAACTAGCATTACTCAATAATAGCTGGATTCTTAAAACAAAGAAAAAAGTACATTAAATCAATTTCAAGTGCAGGAAGAGAGGAACAGATAGAGGGAGAGGGGCGTGCATTCTGTACGTATGATTTTCTCTCTTTATTTTTCTTTAGTAAATAATTTGGAAAGAAAAATTAAATGCCAATGTATCATGTGACTTGAAGTCTATAACGCATAAAATACCTTATTTAAAGTTGGCATTAACATGCTATTTTGGTAGATAAGAATAAAAGCAACCTATTATGAGAAATAGATTTGAGGGTACCTTTTTGTGGGAAAAACAACTCAAAGAAGGTAAGCAGATAAACTTGGAAATAGAGATTTTCAAATACATTACGAGCTGACATGCAGAAAGTTAACAAGAAGTTGTCTTTCCAGACAAGCTTATGCTGAGGCATCTAAACTAGGAATGCTATCGTCTAGGAAAATCTGGAGCGTGCTACAAGCAATTCTAGTTCACATAATAAGAATTCATGAAAACTGCATGTTAGTAACATGTTAGTTCAACAATTACTGTACCGTGTTACGCTTTGACATGGTCCTTGTAAGCTGTGCCGCAACCCCAAAATCGCCTGCTCAGACATTGCAATAACAACAAAATTCTGGATCAGTTTGATTGTAACTCTGCAATCCAAAAGTTAAAATAAAGGAGGGAAAGAGCTTTAAATTTTAGCAGAGGAGGAAAAAGTAATATTTCAATAGGAACTAGAAAAGGCACGGTGCATGGTGCGACTTCTATGATTATCTGTCAATTACGACATTACATACAGGCACAAATTCTAATCACGACAATATAACGTTTTGATCCAAATCACAGTCCACCTCTTCAACAATGTCAGCAGCCAGAAACAATTTTTTAATGTCATGCAAGTCTCAAATATGATGGAAATTCTTTCATGCAGTTTTATGACTTTGCAAGTCGAACAAAGTCAATCTCAATCATCAAAAGTTAATACCAAATTTACGATTTGATTTTCTTCAGAAAATCAATCTCTAATTTATTCGTCTTACAATAATTAAAGGTAGCCTAGCCCATGTAGCTTCTTTGCTAAAAAGACTTTTAAGACACTTGCAGGAAACAAAACAATCAAAATTCTTGTATTTTGTGTGGTTTTGAAGACAATAGTATTTCTGTAATTTGCAGATTTGCCAGAAAATATCAAGGTCTAGGCTTTTATTTTATATTTAGGGTCCTATTAGACCTTAATTAGGGTGCGGTGCTTAGATTTTCTATCTTCTAGACATGATTCCTAGAAAACCTACGAGTGCAAAGTTAGTAGCCTTTTACTTTCATCACTAATTTAAATTCCAAGACCTGAATTCCTTTCTTCTACTCTAGACCCCTAAAATTCCTAAATTCCAAGCCCTAATCCTCCACAAATCCCTAGTAGCATGAAACTTAAAATCTGGTGCATCATAAACATATTCACTAACAAGTGCAATCATTTCTACTTCATTATCTTCTATTAATCAAGACAGGGATTGAATAGAAAAATTGTTAAGAAGTCTGAAAAGTTAAGAGCAAGTACATGTTACAGTATTCAAACTGCCTTTGCAACATGAAAGCTACCAATGTCATTTTGAAAAACAATAGGATACCAGAAAGCATTTTGGAAAAAAAAAGAAAAAAAACTACAATAGGTATTTCCTTCTGTTTCTTATAAACAAAATTGGAGTACAAACATTTACTAAATAATTTTTTTATGAAGCAACTCACCCAACTTGACTTCTCCTTGTTCGGTTAACAAAATATTACCACCCTTAATATCTCGATGGACCTTGAAAATTGAGTGCAGGTAAGCAAGGCCCTGCATGATAGTTAGAAGAACAAAAGGGGGCACAAATAAAACCACCAGAATATGTATAAAAAAAAAAGGGATTGACAATTATCACATTTTCTTCCCCCAAGTCTCAACCAATTAAAATCAAAGATACCTTTAAAGCTTCTCTACATATGTATGCTATTTGATACTCTTCCAAAGGTTCCTCCATGACGTTCATCAAGTCAGCAACGCTTCCACCCCCACAGTACTCCATAACAATCTGCAAAAAATAAAATAAAATAACTCTTGCAAAAAGCACCCCAGTGAAAAGTATCTAGCACCAAAACAAAAAATGCTTCTAATAGAGTAACACCTATGAAATCAAGCGATCCATAACTAATCCTAAAAAAAAGTGACAAAAAAGAGTTCATACCCAAAGATATTCTTCACCTTGATAACTCCCAAGATATCGAACAACATTTGCATGACTGCATTGTTGCAACATCTCAATTTCACCTCGAATTTCTTCATATCCCTCCTCCTGATTACAAGCAGCATTTGATACAACATCCATTATTCATTTGACCAACACATTAAAGGACTTAATTATAGGCTGAACAAGAAAGTGTACTCACTCCTTCGGTCAATGATATAACTTTGATAGCAACTAGCTCAGAAGTTCGCAAATCCCTAGCCTTGTAAACAGCCCCATAAGACCCCTTCCCTACCACCCAAGAAACAAACTCAGCACAACACTTCAAAGTGACAAATACCAGAGACACGGCTTCATAAAAAAAAAAAAAAATACCTTATCAAAAACACACCACACCATTGACTTATCAACTAAGAATATAAACCACACACATTACCACAATGACCTAAAATGATATCTCTAAACCATTATGTATCATCCATTGTTCTATATTCACGTGTACATTCAAAATCAATATGCACGATTAACAAAAAAGTTTAAGCTTTCAACAAAGTGCACGTACCAAGTTCGTTAAGCAATTCATACTTAGTGGTAGGATCTTCTCTAGTAACACTCTCTGGAATCGAACTCCAAGACATTTTGCTTTGCTGCTGGTGGTGTTGTTTACCCTCTTCTCCTAGCAATCCACTCCCTTTCCTCTCCTTACCAAACCCTAACTCCCCGGACGCCTGCATACTTGCTACCGCCTTCCCCATTGCTGATCCTCCACCACCACCACTGCTGCTCCTCCTCAACACCGTCGATTTCACCACAAATGTCCCAAACTCCTCTCCCTCATCATCATCCCCGTCGCTACTATTTCCAACATCATTGATTCGACTTTCAAATTCCGCAAAAGGAGCACTTCGAGGCTTCCTTGGAGGAGCAATCGAGGATGATGACGACCAGGACTGGTTCCAGTCGCGTCCGCGGTCGGTTTTGACGATCATAGTGCCGAAATCGGCGTCTAACTCGTCTTCGTCGCCGCCGCCGAAGTCTTTTGGAAGGCGTTTGAGGAGAGGAGGAAGAGAATCTTCGTCTTCTTCTTCTACGTCGTCGTTTTCTCCTCCTCCTTTGTAAAGCATTGTAGCGTAGATGTTGTTGTCGTCGGGTTTGGATTTGGGTTCGGAGTCGGAGTCTGAGTTGTGGATTACGACAGTAGAGTAGAGTTCCGATTTCTTAGAGGTTTTGTTGATGCGGGTCCGGCGAGATGGGGACGGATGATCCATTTTCCACGATCGAGAAATGGAGTGAGCGAGAAGAGTGACCGTTGAAGAGGAAAGCGAAAAATGATACAACTTAATGGGCTAATTGGGGACTGTTTGGGTTCTTTGAGCTTCAATGAGCGATCCATATGGTTATAAACTCAGCCCATTTTATATGGTTATAAATTCAGCCCATTTGACAAGTCCCAAACCCATCACGATTTAATTTCATAGGGGTAGATTTTAGGCATACAAATATTGTAAAAATATTTTACAATTAACTTGTAAGTTAAATACATTTGTTAAAAATATTTTCCGCCCATGAAGTTTCGTAAAATATTTTATGGATAGTAATATATTTATAATATCATCTAATTATTTTAATTACTATCATTATAACTTCAGTATCATCGCCATCTCCAATATTATTATCACTCTGTCACTATTGTTTATACCATCACCACCTCCATCACTTTTACCATTGTCTCTACTCCACAACAACAACCACTACCCCTATCTTGGCCGTGTCATTACTCCACAACCACCAACATTACTCTTCTATCATTGTTGTTGTCATTCCTTTTTCTCCATCACCGTTATCATCTCAACCACATCACTACTTCACAACCATCTTCATTACTACCCCACCACCAACACATATCGTTATTATCATTTTATTACCAACTTCTTTTTCAAATTATTACTCATCAAATATCATAAAACTCTTTTATATAAAATATTTTAGAGAAAATATATTAGAAGTAAAATATTTTATATTTGCAAAACAAACACAAAACTCTAAAAAGTATTGGATAATATCTACTCTTAAAATTACAGGTGTGATGGATAAATATTCAAACACTACAAAAAAAATCATCAAATAGCGAGAGAAAATAGTGATAGATAAACTTTTATCGCCGAATAAAAAGCAAACAACGACAAAATAGTATCTATTGAAACCGAGTGACGAAATAGAGACGGATTAGTGATGGTTTATTAGTCGGGGACACTCATCTATCGCTAAATTTGACGACAAAATGTTTTCGAGAGTTTTAGAGACAAATTTGCTAAGGAATACAAGTCAAAATTGCTTATCCATCACTATTTTCAATGTTTGGATTTAGCGATGAAATATCCATTACTAAAATAAATATCCCTCGTAAATTAGTGACCGAAAGGTCTCGTTGTTACGAGTGAAATATTGGACGGATTTTTTGAAAGTCAAAACCGTCAAATTAGCGACGTACACTTAAGTCCATCGTTATACATAAAAAATGGGCTACCAATTTTAATTAGTTAGCAAGCACATTTCTCGGACAAATTAGCAACGAATCAATAAGGATATCGCCTCTTTCACTATTTTTTAATCCCTAATTAAATCCCTTTCTTTTTCTTCCTCCCTCATTTTCTTCTTCCTCTCTTTCTCCAGATCAACGTTGGTCTCCTCCCTTCCAAACCACCATCAAATTTCACTCCTCCACTCTTAATCAATCCAAACCCAATCCAAGCTCTTTTATCCGAAAAAAAAAATCTTATTTTTCCTTCCCTCCTCTTGGTGTAATTTCCCTCGAATTAGCTAAGCTTTTTCTCTCTTTTATTTTCTTAATTAAAGTTAATAATTTATTATAATTGTTAGGGTAATTTTAAGTTTAATTACTTGATTATAATTTTCTATATATTTAATTATTATTTTGTTGATTTATTTGTAAAGCTCGTTAATTTTTATTAATTGTTAAATTTTGTTAATTTCTAGGTAAATTTATTTATTAATTATTATTTAAATTTAATCAAATTTTATTTTTAATTAATTTATTTTATTTTATTTATGTTTAGTTAATTGCTTAGGTTAATTTGGTTTAATTATTGAATTATAATTTTATTTATATTAAAAAAATTTAATTTATTATTATTTTAAACTTAATTAGGTTAGAATTAGAATTAAATAAGTTAATTTGATTTGTATTTAATTAATTAATTAGGTTAATTTTGTTTAATTAGTTGATTTATAATTTTATTTATATTAAAACTTATTAATTTATTGTTATTTTAAACTTAATTAGGTTAGAATCAGAATTAATTAAGTTAATTTGATTTATAATTAATTAATTAGGTTAATTTTGTTTAATTGGTTGAATTATAGTTTTATTTATATTAAAACTTGTTAATCTATTGTTATTTTAAACTCAATTAGGTTAGAATTAGAATTAATTAGTTTAATTCTTTTGTATATAATTATTAAAGTGTGTCGAGATACGTCATGATATATTGAACACGAGGGGTCGGAGACCCTCGAAATTGAGGAGAAATAAGGTTGGTTTAATGCACTCGCAATAGAGTTAGGAGAATGAGTATAAGATTTAATTTTGATACGAGTATCTAAGATAATTACCAATCTCAATGTGCACAAATTGATTGTTGGTTGATTTAATTTCAATGTTTGTGTAATCATTTAAAGTGTCCGTTAATTAAGAAATGTGCAATTTACAAGGGAGACTCTATCAAAATTTTATTAGATGCTTAAAAAAATATAATTAAATAATAATTTTGATCCTACACTACCAATCAAGAGAATAGTTGCATTCAAATGTGATTGATTTGATCCTACATTGAATGGAATAAAAGTTCATCCATAATATAGACTAACGAAGATAAATTGTAGAAAGAGTTTCAATAAATACAACTCCTTTGTTCTAATGACAAAAGTGGCTCAAGTATATTATGTCATGTATCCTAGCTTGAAGCACGACCATTAGGATTGGTGAGGTGTTTGTAAGATAAAAGCTTGGGTTATGGTTGATTTTATAGAATTGTCTTTTGGAGTCCAACAAAATGCAAAATTGTTTCAAGATGATTATTTCAAAAATCCAACGGAATTTGATATAGGATGTCGGTGAAGAGCGAGTCATTGAATGATCCAAATGGATTGTTTATAGATATATAAATAATTAGAGCTAATGAAGAAGATGAGAGTGAACGTGTATCGAATCCACTAAAAGAGAGAATAACTTAAAAGATTATTATAATAATTGTAATTAAAGATCAATTTTATTTATCACATTCATTAATTTATCGTATTTTTTTGTCTATTATGTTTTTTTTATGTTTGTTGTACATTTTGGAAGTGTTGAATTTTATGTCGATGACATTTTTAATAATAAGGAAATATCAAATTTATATATTTTTATTCGTTTTGATTCAAAATAAGTTATAATATATTTTCGGTCGAATTATTATTCATTTGTTAAATTATTTCAAGTTTTATTCTTGAGTTATGTCTCGTAAATTAGGTAGATCTAGTCCCGGTGTCGATGGTTACAACTCGATGTTAATCATAGGACTAATAGTGGCGGTGCACATGGATGTGGCACTATTAGTGCAAATGTCCGAGACGCGTACTTGATAGCGGTACTCGCACGCCTAAATCCCCTCTAGTAATACCCTCGTCAATTATGCCCTTATTAGCGAGTGCTTACTACCGTAGATGTCCCCACGATGGTTTCCTTAGCTCCAAAAAGCTCTACTAGATCTGATGATGGACGAACCATTTAAGTCGTAAATAACTAATAAGTAATATATTTTACATGCGATAAATTAGTTTTATATTATCATATTTTATATTTGAACCATTAGTTCAGTTATTTATTATTTATTTGTTTTATTTGATAGCTTGGTTTCATTAAACAAGTGCTTCATAAAAATTATCGTAATTTTCAAGGAGCTGTCGAACATCATTGGCTTCACAAGTTTGTCTTCATAGAAACAAAAGACTTCTACATTAATGAGTTTAAGACTTATATTTTAATGAGTTTAGGATAACATATTACTTATTTGCTTATATTTCATTCAAAGTGTTAACTTAACATGAAAAGTACTAAATATTTTTTTTCTTTATATAAAAGTACTTTTTAAGAGATACGATTGTCGACGAGCCGATTAAAGATGCATGAAAGAATCGACACGGAGGTAATGTGGCGACATGCTTAACAAGATGAAGCATAAGAGTAATAGATCTATGTTTGTTAAGCGGAAGGTGAGGGAAGCATGACATCGAGATTAGGCTACTCCCAAGTATTAGACTCGATCTCGGGAGACATCTCAAAATCATATGTCAAAGATGGTCGGTGTTAGTATTGGCCCATCTAAGCATACCGGAGGTTTTATCTATTTGATTAAGCATGCCGAGTGTTTAGTACATTCTATATTATCTATTGCATTATAATTTAATTTTTGCATGATCTCATATTATTTTGTTTATTTTTTTAGCATAATAAATTGGATCATAATCCAAATCCTCATGAGTCTGCTCATGACCACTCACAAGTAGAAAGATGGTCATTCATCGATAAATGATCACGATACTAATAGTAAGGTTTTATATTTTTAAAAAATTTATATACATCTACTAGTATAATTTAAAAAATCTATTTATGATTTAATATTATAATTATTTCAATAATATAGAAACGCATGTAGTCAATGCGAAGCAGTACTGCTAAGGAGCGATATGAGGATGATTCATCATCTCCAAATATCAACGTGTCTAAGATAGATTTGGATGTTATCAAATAAGAAAAGAAGCAGAGAGTGTACGCATCGGATCTTATGAATTCGTATTACTCATATTTTGGCATCGGCTCCTATTCTCGCTACTCCATAACATCTTGGTAGTAAAATCTAAGAGGTTTATGCCCAAGACAAAGGTAGGATCAAAAGGATGGAGGTTGTCATTCAACGAGCGGAGCCAGTCAAGTTAGCATCATACAAAGTCGATTGTAGATAGTGATAAGATTGTAACAAATTTGCAACGTGACTTACGTCCCTCCTACCGACCCTCCTACAACCCGGGAGCGATCGTTGCTCTCAATATATAACAATGTAAATATGATGTAGGAGATTATGATAATGAGGACTACATTTGTTACGTTAAAAAAAAAAAGCTTTTAATCTTTTGGTACACTTTAACACATTTATATATTTATTTTATTTTGATTTATACTATTTTAATTTTATTAAATAATATATCATATTTTAATAATATATTATTTATAGTTGTTTGTTATTATAATCAACAATATACGATTATTGATTTTAAAAAAAATTAAAAATTCCTTTGTTTACCGATGGAATTACAAGAATATTTAACGATTGATACATATACGATTCTTAAATAGCGATGAAATTGTGAGGATTTTAGCGACACCCTTTTCGTCATTGTTTAGCAATGAATATAAGTAAAAATAGTGACGGCATGGCGATAGATATAAGACCTTATAAATGATTATTTTAAATCAATTTAACGATAGAAATTCAATAAATCGGTGACGAAAAATCCATTACTAATCAACGACGAAGACAATTTTGGTCGCTAAGGAAATAACGACCACTATATTAGTGACGTTATTCATATTGTTTCTAATCCGTTGCTAATTGTATATAGCAACGAGTTTTTAAAGTATAGAGACTGAAAAATATGTCATTATATGCCGAATTTCTAGTAGTGAAAAGTTTTAAAGCTTTATTTTATAACCTATAAACTTCATAAATCATAACCTAATATGTAGTTATTGTCTTCTCTACCAAGCTCGTTATTTGAAATTAAGATTAATCAAATATTACTATTTTATAATTATGTTATTTTTAAAATTTATTTAAAAAATTCATTTACGATAAACTATTTAACACACACACACACATACACATGTATAGACATATACTTGTGTTAGTGCCCACCGTTCATTATCTAAATTTGACTTGAAACGATTAAAACATCATCTTATGAAGGAGAAAATATAATATTATTGAAAGCAATAATAATGTGATAAAATATAACATAAACATGGCATATATCGTGAATGAAAATGTGTTTTGCATAGGTCACATTGATTTCAAAGTTCGGACAATAGTAGAAATTGCTATTTTTTCATCTTTTTTTATGTGTTGTTTTATTATTAAAATTAGTTTTTAGTATTTTTTCTTTATTTAGACAACAATTTTTTTTTAAGATCCACAATATCATGTGTCAATCAGTGATAGATTGAGTCTAATGGTAATGTGCCATATTCAATGAAAATAGACTATGTCAAATAAAGGGTCCGAAGCAAAATATCTTGAAGAGTAAAGGATCTCAATCAAGGTAAAAAAAGAATAGATGGTCTTAATAGTAATAAAAAATTCAAATAGTATAGAGTTCATAGATGGAGAAAACCCATTGGAATTTACAATACTTCATGATTATTTTTTCTTTGTTTTATATTTCATAGTTCAATGAGTATTTATAATCCTAATAATTAAGTTATTTCAATTTAGTTTCATGTGATTGCAAATCTACAAAAAGAATGGGAGAGTTAGGATGGAATACTAAAAAGTGGAAAAAAAACAAAGTATGTTTTCCTTGTACTTTGATTTTATATAAGGGTAAATAAGTCAATATGTCTTATATAATAGCCCGAGTCTTTAATTTGTTCTTACATTTCTAATTACATATATTATGTTTCTAAACAATATTTAAATCTTTAATCTATCTTTTCGATCATCAAATTTTTTTTAGTTGAAATGCTCCTAATTGAAATGCAAGGGAAAAAAAAAACCTTAAAGTCATATGACTTGTATGTTCCATTTGAAGTGTTTAGAATTTTTATTTATTTATTTATTTATTATTTATTTATTTTTGCATTTTATTCGGAGACATTTCGATAAAAAAAACTATATATGGTTGGACAAATTGATCGAAAAAAATTAAAAATTTAAATAATATTCAAAAACATAATAGATGTAATTAAAAATGTTGGAACAAATTAAAGACTTAAACTATTATATAAGGATAAATTGACATATTTATCCTATAGATATTATTTTGTTTATGGACGTTGTTATTGATGTTTGTTTATATTACGAGATACAAACACGTAAGGACATTTCAAATGCTAATTCTATCTCCAACGAGAGGAAGAAATAGGATTGACGAGGATGTTGCTAGTAGGGCCAAAAATGCTACCGCTAATGAAAGTTTAACAAAGAAAAAATCTATCGCCGGTAAGGATAAACCGTTAGTAGTTGATAAAGTTGACCCCAAACCAAATCTCCCAACACCAACTCAAATACTAAAAGGTATAAGAAGGCATTGCTTGATCAATGTGCTTTTAGTAAAAAATCTACCGACTCTAGATCAAGCATTAAAAAGGACATGAAACTTCAAGTTAGAAAATGGTTTTTGGTTGTTGTGTCGATTGCATTATTGTAGCTATAAGTTGTAATTAGATGTTTAATTTAATAAATTTTGGTTTTATTATAGGATAATTAAAGCATAAATTTTTTTGTCTTTGTAGCCTAAACACCCAACAAATAAGATTAATGTAGTACCAAAAAAAAAAAAAATGCACATGCACTTGAAGTTTCAAACGAAAGGGCAAGTAAAGAAAAAAATTGAAATTTGTTCTTAAAATAGTTTCATCCATCTTGGTTCAAAATGAGATGTGCAATCGGTTTTTTGTATTACTTTAATTTTCTCAAATCTTCATATATGTAGAAAACACAAAAAATTTAAATTCTTTTTATTTATAACATTACTATATGTTTCTATTGTTTTTATATCAAATGCTATTATTTTTTAAAATATTTGTTTATGTTTGCTTCGAGCATGAACTAGTTAATCCACCAATTTATGATCGTTACCTAGCATATGCAATTTCAAGAAACAACAACCGCAATCCTCATAACAAACCATTATTCAAGTAAATAATAAGCAAAAAAACCAAACATTGTTTAACATATTAGTCCATTTTAACAATAGCAAGGAATATCATTATGATAACAATTTGTACATTCGCAACGAATATCATTCCAACAACGAGACTTATAAATTTCTACATCAATACAAATACAACCAATTCGTATATCATTACAATCATCGACACAACAATCAAAATCAAAACCATTTTTATTTGATATCAAATGTTATTTCTCTCGTCTTTTATATTGCTATCTTAATCATCAATTCTTTTTTTTGTTTTCCCATCAAAGTAAAAAACTTCATATCATCTAACTCGTTCTTCAACCTTCAAAGTGAATTCATTTTTTTTACACAATAAAATTTTCTCTACGTACATTTGTCTTTGCTTATTTTTCATCCGTATGAAATCATCCTTTCACATACAATAATCACAACCATACTTTTTATTCTCATTATAGGCAAACCTAACTAGACATGGATGAAACCTAGAGCTTGGTTGTGTATCACTCCATGACATCCATCTTGTAATTTTCAAATCACAATAACAAATCATAGGAGACTCTTTATAATCCCTTTAGGAATTTGTCGTGAATCTACACAAATCGGTAAAAATCTTTCACCTTCGAATTCATTGGTGTAGGATGAGGATGAAACATAAGATGATGGATGACAAATTCATTCCATCATCTAATTTTTTATATGATGGGGACGAAGATGATAAAACTATGGTTTTTAGGATTTACCGATATGAGATTTTCAAATTTAAGGTTTTAGAGTTTGATAGAATGAGATGACGAATTAAGAGTTTTCGAGTATAACATAGATGGAAAGAAGAAAAATTAGAGCTAAAATGAGTTAGGAATCAATGGTAAGAAGATAATCACAACAATAAAGAAAATTGAAAAAACGAAGAGAAAAGGAAAATGGGTTACGGTCGGATAAAAAGCAAGAGAGAGAAAACACATAATGTGTTATTATAGATAGATTTTTTTTATTTTTTTGCTACATGATAATTCAATATGACATATCATGACACATATAATTTTTTCTAATCACATGTCATGTTTACTTGAAAAATTAGTTAGAAAACGATTAAAAATGCCACATTAAGAACAATTCAAAAATAAAAAAACTTAATAAATGAATGAATAAATAAATAAGCCATATTATAAAAATATCAAGAATAAAAACACGATTCATGCGATTATATATATGTGTGTGTATATATATATATATGCATTTCTTTTTTGTTTTTAAAAATAGTTTTCAATCTAATTTTAATTTGGAAAACTAATTAATTTTATGGTCTTTTTGTTGTCATATCACACATTTCCACGTGTCTCTTTCCATTACCCCAGAAGTTCTGCATCGTTTTGACCTGAAAGTCGGAGGATCAAAATAAGATCGGTCAGGCCGCAATAGAAAGTTGGGAAAAAATTTCCCGGTTATCATTGATTTAGGTATTCAGTGTTGTTGTTAGGGAGAATAGCAAGCAATGATAGAAGGAGTAAGAATCCGGCTGAGCGGGTGGCAACAGGCGGCGGTTGCGGTTGGTTCCGCGGTGGGTGCGTTGTTAGATCCACGAAGAGCGGATTTGATCGCGGCGCTTGGAGAAACAACTGGAAAACCTGCTTTTGAAAGAGTTCTTGAAAGAATGAAGAAGAGCCCTGAAGGAAGAGTGAGTCTCTCTCATTTATTGTATTCATAGTAGTTAACGTTTAATATAACTAAATCATTATTCAGTAAAATCGTGAATACATTATTATACATGCAATCCAATCTTGTCAGATTCTCGTAATTGTGAAGTACTCATGGCTGAATCTTAGTTTCTCTTTTTTTGCCAATCAATATTGTTAGGCAAAATGAATTTTTGACAGGAGCTCTGGGCTCTACATTTATCATGCAGATTCAAAGTGAATTCGTCTCAGAAGCTTTTAGCTAAGCATGTCATGAGTGAAAAAATGAAAATGTTTTGGAATTAATTTTGTATATCCTTCTTTTTAGCTGAACAGGCAAACACCTGACGATTGAAATTCCTGTGAAATCAACTTTTGTTTTTGATAGGCAGTTCTCTTGGAGAGACCTCGTGTCATATCTGCACAAGTGGGGCATGCTTGGGATTTGCCAGCCAATACATTTGGTGCTGCCTATGCAAGATTCATGGGATCCAGAGACTTTTCCCCGGATGACCGTCCACCGGTGCGATTCATGGAAACTGAAGAACTGGCATATGTTGCGATGCGGGCTCGCGAGGTTCACGATTTCTGGCACACCCTTTTTGGCCTGCCTACTAACTTGATCGGAGAGTCAGCTCTCAAGGTGATTGAGTTCGAGCAAATGTACCTTCCAATGTGCCTGATGTCTGTTGTTGGAGGCACGGCAAGATTTACGGAAAAGCAGAGGAAATTGTTCTTCCAGCACTACTTCCCATGGGCTGTTCGGGCTGGCTTGCAGAGCAAAGATCTCATGTGTGTGTATTATGAGAAGCACTTTCACGAAGATTTGGAGGACGTCCGCAGAAAATTGGGGATAACTTCTGTTCCAGCTGCCCCCAGTTAAAATGTGCCTTCACCTCCAGCAGCCGCAGTTGCTTGGGTGGAGGGGTAAGGCGTCTTGGAATCACCTTCTTGTTTTTAATCTGTGCGAGAAGATGTACATAAGGAGGTTTTTTTCGGATAATAAAAACGAGATTCACTTGCAGACTTCCAACAGCGAAAAGCTTGAGCAACATCTTCTTGTTCTCCCTTAACTTGTGCATTTTTTTTTTCCGTTCATGAAACTCACAGAGGACGTCCCTTTTTTTTTTTTTTCTATAATTATATCATATTCTGGCTTTCTTAGGCAAGTGAAAAGCCATAGAGACGCACCCTTTTCTTGACCAAATACAAATGCAATTTAATATGAGAAGAGGGGTGTCACCGACTGAATTCGTGATTGGAATTTTATGGAATTCAAGACTTGGAAAAATAATTGGATTCGAACATGGATTGATGCATGTTTGGCCGTTTTTGCTGAATCTACGTTTTAGATTTCAAGCGAATGCCAAGGATTTTAAAATTTAGATGACTTCGATTATTAGTAAGTGGTTAGGTTATCTTACATTGTTTCATTGGCAATAAGCACCGTGAAGCCAGGATCGAGATGTTCTGCATATTGCCTTGTAACCTCAAACAGTTGTCATAAAACACAAGCAGTGAGCATTCTGAAACTTTGTCATCATTACCCACGAGCAGCAGTAGTCTTTCATTGCATGAAATGGGACTAAATAATGTTAACTGCTCTCAGTTTAATGTTCTGCTTCTTATCTATAATCCATTCCTCCATTAATTATCAATACGAGCATTAGTAACATGAACAAAAAAACACAACTAAATTGAGATTCATTCCACTAGTGCATTGCAAAAACTATAGCTCCTCCCAACACCAATGATTAGTTTGTTAGGAGGGGATGGTAGAGAAGACAGACGTGCAGCGAATGAACAATAAGTGATGGATCAAGGATGGAATAATTATCTTGTTTAGCATGATGCATGGAGAGAAGAAATATCAGACAAAACAGTCCTAAAGACAGTATCTTCTTTTTCTTCTTCTTCTTCTTCTTTTAATAAAAAAGACTTAAGAAAAAGAAAAAAGAAAAGAAAAAACACATTAGCAGTGCTTAAGAAAACATACTGCCCAGATTATGCTATGTATCAGAAGATATCCAATGAGTTTTTTAAAAGATGCCCGGGCAATTAAGTCCGACAATCTTGATTGAATAGTTGAAACAGCAAAGACACACTTATATATTACACCACATGGATTATGTTGAAAATGAAAGCATTGTTTGCATTCAAACTACAGGTTCACAGAGATCAACAAACAGAACTCCATATTGGGACGTGATGGCATGTGTCAGTTGTTACCACCACCAAAGAGGTATCCCAAAGAAGATCCACCACCAGGAGCAGCATGGACCTTGGTTGAAGGCCGATCCTGAACCGAGAAACAAGGTTAGGTTGTTAAAAACAAATTCAAGAAACCACTACATTGTCTTTCGCAAAACACAATCAAACAAGTTACGTGAAAGCAATTAACCAAGAAACTTATTGGCTGTTTAAAGCAACTTCCAGAAATAATTTTTAGAGCACGTTCATGTAGTTCAAGATATGTAAATAATTTTAGAAATAACATTCATGTAGTTCAAGTCTGCATTCTTTCAACTTTCATAATGTACCTATTGAGCCTTGTCAAACGAAACCAGGAGAATACTAATATCACTTGGAAACATATAAATTGGAAATACAGAATGCCAAGATCATAATGGAAAGTAGTTCTTGCTCAGCTCCTAAGTACCTGGCTCTAGGAACCTACACCCACACCTCAAAACAAAAGGCTAACGGGCTCTATACTACCCATCTAGCAGGCTTCTGGTCCCCATATTACAGCAACAGCAAGTATGAGTATCTAGTTCCCAAGGCTAGTCCATCATAAACCATAAGCAGTGTCCAGTCACCCATTATACCATAACCCTTGTATTTTCATAGAGAGAGAGAGAGAGAGAGAGATAGATAGATAACTGCTTTCATAAGGCTGGATAAGCCTAGGGTTAAGATCAGAAGCCATATCTTTAATCATTGGATAGGTACTATGACTCCCAGAGAAATCTAAAGAAGGGAGGGGGAAACCACAAAAATGTCGCCCTATCGAAACTTGACCCAGAACCTTAAAACAACCAAAGGAACTTCACACTTCTTAGGCAAAAAAAAAAAAAAATGCAGTTTAATGGTTACAAAGATGGTGGCATCCTTCCATATGTATTTATGCATATCTCTCTGCCAGAAAATTCCTAATCATTCATGGGATAATCCTATCAATTTCCAAAAGACCGATGATCTTGTAGAGATCTAATCAGGCATGTTTCTTTGTCACAGAGAAGAACTGTGGCACAACGTGAATATGAGCAAGCTGTATCCAGCTATAAAACCATTATGGACAACTGATACAAACTGCACCAAGAGCTAAGGCTTAAAGAATCATACCGTGATGAAGTTGCCAGTGTTCTGACCATCTGCCCTCATATAGTTGTTTGAGGAAGTACTGTTAATACCAGCAGGAACCTGCTTATTAATTTCAGCCGGCTGAGGAGCTGCAGCAGGTTTAAGAGGAGGCGGATTATTTGCAGGCTGGCTCTCGCTTGGAGCAGCTTGGGCAATGTTTGAGCCAGGTTTTGGAGCCTCTCCACTCCCAAACAGATAGCCCAATGAACTCTGCCCTCCACCAGCACTAACTCCACGACCCATATTCTGAACAGAAGGATCCCAGGCCGACAAAGAAAGCAAATCGTTAAAACCAAGAAAGAATGAAAATAAAAAATAAAATAAGCTTAGGGAAATGGCACGAGAAGCATGAAAAAGAATGATAACAAAACCATAACTAATTACCTGCATCACCTGCTTTTAACTCCCAGAAAGCACACAAACTACTCTAATCATGGCCTGGTAACTTAAAAGATCTACAGACCCATTAATGATTTGCAAGTTGAAATCAATGAGCGCATCACTCTTTCTAACAAACATCATCCTTTAATTTATTTATGCATCTCCATTTGCATCCTTGGGTAACACAATAAGGATAACCCTCCCCTCCTTTAATCCCTTCCGAGATAGCCAGCTAACACCCACATCATTACAAACACGATTGATACCATACATACAAGAGACACAATTCACAAATACATGTCATTATACAGAAAAAACTAAAACAAACAAGAATTAAGCATGGACTCGCCTCACAAATGAACAAACACACCCGGAACTTGAAGCCCAAGCAGAAACCACAAACAAATTAACAACAACGTATAGTGATTTATAACACAAACACAAGCAAATCAATCTAGATCCCCTAAATTCGGGTTGAATAACACCACATAACTTAAAATCCTATCCAAATTTCGATTTTAAACAAAACAAAACAAAACAGTGATACAGAAGCTTGCAAAAGAAGCGAAATGTATGAACAAAAAGTAGAAAACAACAGCAGATCTTAACAAAAGCAGTCAATTATACTCGAATCACAAAGTGAATTTGCAAAATTAGCGAAGAAAAACGTCACATTATATCATAGTGCGAGTGGTTAAAAGGAGAAACTGGCAGTATCAATTTTGTAAGTAAGAAGGTGAATCAGAGATCTAAAGAGTTACGGTTTCGTAGAGATACCTTTTGAGCGATTTGGATCTGATATGCTACGAGAGAGAGGAGCTGCAGCTCAGAGAGTAATGGTAACTGCTGAGAGACTGAGGTAGAGAAAGCGATAGGTGAACGTTATACGTATATATAGACCGTGAATAAATATTTAAGGACCCAAAAAATGAAAAAGAAAAAAAATAGCAGTGGAGGTTTTAACTTTTGTACGAATATAACAAATTTTAAAATTGATGGGATTTTTAATTTCTTTGTGTAGGTGGATTTTTTAATATATATTTTTTTAAATTGATGCTAAGTTTGGTTATGACTTATATAAATATGCAATAAGTAAATTTATATGAATATGCAGAAAAATCATTTAATTTTAATATACAAAAATTGACTTGAAAGATAAAAACATATACAAAACAAATATTAGTTAATAAAATATTTTCGAGTTAATTTTTGTATTAATTGAGACTAAATCTATTATTTTTTATGTTAAATTAATGGGTAAAGATGCTTAATATTCTTTAGTCAGTTTAGTTTTGTGCCATGTTAGTATAATTTCATGATTTTTGTTTCTAAGTTGCTAATGAGCTATAATTGATCATTGGAATGTTGCCACCTACCACAAACTCAAGCATTAGAATTTTCGAAATTTGAATTATTTACTTTAGTAAAAAAATATCTTATGATTGTATTTGTGAGTAGATATCGATTATTTTTCTCTGTTATCCTCTTTGATTATCAAAAGATTTATTGAATTATAGGCCACAAGAAAGGAATATTGGATGAAATACATAAAATAGAAATACTCTTTAGAAAGTGCTGCATACATGCTCTCGGATTGAATTATAACGAATGTTTTTTTGCAACAAAATAAAAAAATAAAATTTTTTTTTACTATTGTAAAATAAAAATTCTTTGGTAATTGGAAAAAAAATAAATTGTGAATGAAAAAGAAAAAATTGTCGGTTTGGTGCTATTCTCATTCATTCTATTGTTATTCAGTATTCATCTTGTGACTATTTTTTTTTTCTATTGAAAGTTTTGGGATAATAAATATATATATATATATATGTATAAAAAAAATCTTCTAAGTCAAACAAAAATCGAAACCAAGTAAGATATTAATTTTGAAAATTTATATACAAACTTTGACATTAATCGATCTTCTTCATAAGGTTTGGTTTCTTTGTATAAATAGATATTACATCCAAAAAAGCTTGTTAAATTCTGTCATTTTTACTATTTAGGTTTATTTATAAAAAAACACTATTTTTATGTGGATATTATTATAAAACACTTGCTCATATCACTAACATTCTAACATGTTTATTTGACAATTTAATTTTATTTGAGAATACGTTTTCATTTAAAATTTATACTCGGATTATGATGTTCTATTAAAATGTCATAAAAAGAAAGAAAGAAAAAAAAAACTCTATTTGGTCCTTGTGTAATTTATTTTATGGGAGTGAGAATAACCATTAAAGAATTTTATTGTATGTATTAGTGAATGCTCGGTTGCTCCTCCTCTGGAGCATTCACTAATACATACAGGAGTACTCATTGGTGACAAAAAGTAGCCCGGGTTTCAATGCATGAACTATATTTATATATTACATATGGCCGGGGAAGGATTAATGGCATATGCATGCACATGTTCTTCAACAAGTTTCTGGTTGGTCAACTTCGACCACATATGCATAAATGAACCATGCCGAATTTGTCAATATCCCAACCAATTCCAACGTGCATGTCTGCCCCCACAGACTCTACTTTTGTAAAGCGAATTTAGATTTGCTTCGATGGAATTTGCGATATCTCCACTAGTGTCCTATGCAGACCCTGTGGCTTGGAAAAAAAGGTGCATGATCAGAACCTTTAAGCTGGAAAACCTGTGTAGGTGGATTTGATTTTATCATGGACTCCTGTAGAGGAACAGGCATGGCACGATCTTCTTGAGTTTTAATATAAAACCTTGGAATGGAGCCATAGTTGTTGCCAGAAAGAGAGAGTTTCTCCAAAACTGGTGCAAATGGGATTGGCCTCATTGATACTGATGCCAATGCTACATCCTGGAATACAAACAACCCTTTTTGTGACTGCAATTCTTAAAAGCAGAGATGTAATTAATGCACATGAAACTCATATACCTTGGTGGAACTCTGGTTGAACCAACACTCTCTTAACAATGTTTTGTCGATGTCAATAGCAGTTGGAGGGTTATCCGTTCCATTGGCATACATAAATGTATGAGGTTGTCTTATCAGGTCACTGGAACCTGTCTGAAATAGGCATTAATCAAGTAGTATTTTTCGTTAGTTCAAAAATAAGCCAGTGTCATAACTAGTTCAATTATGCTAGTCCTAATGCAATATAACTTGAACTATTAATTTGATCTATTTAGTTCTTAAATTATTATTTTTTGAGCAAATTATATGCTTCTGATTTGATTTAACAGTTTAAGATTGATGATTAATTTTTGACTTTTAATTAAAAAGTATAATACCATGTCATTATAAATTTCTTTTTTACACAAAACTATTTTTGTAAACAGAATTACTAAAAACAAAAGTCATTTATAAAATCTCAATTTAAAAGTCAAAATATATGCAAAGAGGTATATGCGTGTGTAAATTTTTTTATTTTTCAAAATGATATCATATTGAGTTTTTTAGTCATAATCAAAGTTTAATTATAAGTCTTAACGGTTCAATCAGAAAAACATAATTTGTCTAAAAATTAATAGTTTGAAAATAAAAGAGATCAAATTGATAGCTCAGGTCTTATTTTGCCACAATTTCAATACTAGAGGAGTAACTGCTAGCTTGTATTCTCAATAGCTTCTAGCCTTCTACCAACATTGCACAATATGATGCAATGTTGCAATGTTAGAGCTGGATCAATATCCTATGTACAGAAGAGGGTTTAGTCCAGAAAAATATCAACCGACTATTGAGGAAAGTTGTGATTGAATTACTATTAAGCAAGTGAGGTGTGTATATATATGAAGGTATGTATATTCTTGCCTAATATCAAAAAATGCATAACAACACTAACTGAGGACAAAGATTGTTCATAAGGTATCACTAAAGCAATGGTTCTCCGTCGCTAGCTACAGTATATAATCTTGGGCAATGGATTTCTTTATTTTATTTTCATGGGCCAAAAGACGTTCAGTGGTAGGACAGCAAGAACAAGAGAATAAAGAAGAGAGACCTGAAAAGTGCAAGTTACTTGGGAGGAAAACTTATAGTCTTCAGAGGATGTAAAGGAGAGAATTAGATACTACCATTGTTAACGGACCAGAATTGCTTAATTTGATTAGTTTAATGTCATCCTGTAAGCTGTGCCTATTTCAATTTATGTAAAATGGAGGTCAAACCTGTTGAGAAAAAATATCAAGGGCACTCTGCCCACTGGACAGCATTATTGCAGCAATAAAAACAGCTTTAGCAATTTTAGACGGAAACAGCTCCATCACATATGAGATACAAGCACCACCAAAATCATGACCCACCAAAATCACCTGCATTTTTTGCCAGAAGAACTTAATTATAGAAGTCCCTCAAATAAATCATCAATCATCTTCATTGAAAAAGGGAGAGCACAAACCTTGTCCCCTTCACCAAGCGTGTCCAAAATATCAGAAAGTGGCTTTACGTATTCGGCTAGATTTCTAATGCTGTTTGTATCAGAATAATGAATGCCAGAACCTGTTAAGTCTACTGCATCAACTTTAAAGCCAGCTTCCTGTAGAAGGGAAATGGTTTTATACCAACACCAAGCGCCGAAACCACCTCCATGGACAAGGACAACATGGTTGGTTTCAAGATCCTACCAAATTAAAAAAATGATTAGTCAGTATCATTAGTAGAAAGTGAAATTTAAAATTTAAAGTCCAATTCTACAGTAATCTCATCGCTAAAATGGAAAAGTGTGGTAGTGCTTTCCTAATAGTAACTGTGGCTTTACGTTATATTGAACATAATTCAGCCTAACATGAATTTGACCAGTTAGAACAATGTTTTGATTTCAAAGGCGAAAAATGGTTAAAAATGAAGAGATGCTTGAAAGTTTTAAATGATGATCTAATATGAATATTAAACCCAAAATCAAATGGTAGAGAAGGTCGCCCAGGTTACTGGCAGGGCAGACTCATCCGAGAAAACTAGACTTGGCATTTGGCAAACCCCAGTAATCAACCAGTACTATTCCTAAGAGTGCTGGGAGTTGAGAAATTAGCAAAAAAGAATAATCAATGAAGGGCCTGTTACCATTCAAAATCTTGTTTGTTGTATAAAGCTTATGCATTAGAGCTAAAGCAAAATCTACTGGAACTACTGATAAAAAAACGCATCAGCCACCGATGCAGAATTTGTCTGGCAGTACTTTCCCTTGAAAATCAAAGAGAGGACAAGAATTGAATTTAAATTATGCCACGAAGAACTTCAGCAGCCTAGTTTCATGATCATGCACATGAGTAGCTTAATCATTAGATGGAAATCAAAAGGCTAATTACTTGAAGGGAGAACTTTAAACTCGTGATATATATATGTCCATGGATCAAATATATGTTTGTCGATTAGTTAAAAAAAGAAAGAAAGAAAGAAAGAAAGGAAGGAAGGAAGGAAGGAAGAGAACAAAAACCTGGTTAACAATCTGGTTAGGCCTTTTTAACAGAGAGTCAGAATGAGACCGTGGCCTAGACCTTGAACTCCTTGTAAAACCTTGCTTCTTTGAACCTGGAGAAGGATACACTACAGAGTTGGATCTAGTAAATGGAGGAGAATTACCATTATTTCTTTGATGATGACGAAAAAGCAAAGCTGCAGCGAGAGCCTGTTCTGATATCAAATTAGAATCCTGATCGTCAAGCTGATCATCAAAGCTCAGTACCTTTTTCTTTTTATTCTCTGATGAAGAGAGGGAAAAGAAGCGGCCAGTTCTTCCATTGGAAGAGGCTACGAAAGGCGAAAGGTTTAAACCGCGTTTAGAGGCTTTTTTCTCACCCCTTCTGTTGAGATACATGTTAATGCGTTTCCCATTTTTCGCTATTTCACCTTTTTTGCGTAGATGAGTTACTCAACAGACATATACATATACAAAATGCATGCACACAGCACACTTGTCACCCATGTATGTAGGTTTATTGCTTCAGATAACTTTTACTTTATAGTTGAGCTCACGTTGTTTCTTATTGTAATTAAAAGGTTGCCAATGGTAGAGGAGGGGCGACCATTACAACTTTTATATCCGAAGGAAATGACATCGATACTTCCTAGATATCTAGAGAGGAGACCTACCCATTGTATAATAAGAACAGACGGCTATTTTTTTCAGGATTTTAAAAAAAGAAAAGAAAAAAAAAGAGGACTTGAAAATGATAGCAATTTGGATCGTCATGCGAAGTCTGAGATGAAAAGCTGAGTAGATTTTCAGCCTTAAATTACCACTTGGCATCAGGAGATAGCAAATGCCAATTTTGAATGGGAATATTGAAAACAAGAATTTTGGCCAAAGATGTGTCGTTGGAAATCCTTGTCTCAATGTTCAACAAAAAAAAAAAAGGAGTAAGAAAAAGACATTTTTGAAATTTTACCAACTGCCTGCAGGCTGGATAACTAGATATTATTCGCTTTTCAACCAGAAGTGCGAGAGCGGAGAGAAGCCTTAAAATGAAAAGCAACAAGAGATTAGAGGCGCTTAAATCCTAAACGATTAATTCTATTAAGAGCCTTAAATATAAATTAAAAAAAAAAACCCTTAAAATGAGATAATTGTCAGATTTTTATTTTTTATTTTTCCTAAATGCCTCCCCGATTCATTTCTCTGAGGATCATGAAAAACCACTTGTTCCCCACATTGACCAGCACTTAAAATCACGTAAGCAATTAAATTCGTTGAGAATCTATCAGACGCACGACACTTTTAAAATACTTGGATAACACAGGTTGCCTAGCATCCACGAGGAGGACAACAAACCCTCTTAAAGAAACTTACAAGTCCACTTGCTACTTGTCTTATTTCGTACAAGAAATTCACCAACATGAATTGGAGCTGGAGGCTTCACAGACATGGTTTGCATAAAAACTACGATGCAATGAGGAATTCAATCAATGGCTTAGAATTCCCAAACTATTCCATCCTCCTGTTTTGAAGATCAATAGAACAATTATATCTTCATGAAAAGCAAAGTTTTTCATTTAAGGTACAAGGCCATTTGGTGATATATTTGGCTTTATTAAATAATACAGAAAAAAACTGAACTTTAATCGTGTGTTCCTCTCTAACAGAATGGGTTGGGAATCAAAACTGCACTCCTTGTGGCTGCCAACGCCTCTCCCCATCCCACATCCAGATGAAAAACCAGTCACCACTTCAACCAAGTCTGCTTTGATGCTGATTCCAACAGTCAGGCAGCTTCTATCATATGAATCCATGATACAGGACGACTGAAACAGCAACATTCCCTATATTGTGCACCATCAGGAGCTGACAACCACCTCTTGGTTGCGCTCATTGCCAAAGAGAAACACCAGAACACTGCAGATGGATATTAGGGGGACAGTGATGGTGTAGACTGTAGACTATAGAAGCCCTCCAAAATTCTGCGACTCCTCTGGTCAAGCAATGCTCAAACGGATAGACCTGGAAAGGATTTTATCATAAAAGTCCACTTTCTGAATGCATCCTATCAACAAAAAACTGCAGAGCCACTTCTCCTCGATCATGAATTACAGCAATCCTCCTTTAACTACTATTTCTCACCTGCAGGATGAAAATCAGGACATCAGGCCACACAGAGATCCAAAATTTAGAAGCTAAGAGCAGCCAAATTCCAATCTTCAAAAGAATTTCGGTCAAGGAGACAATGTACCAAAGTCACAGAGCCCCATCGCTGGTATAGTTACCCAATGTGAAAGGGTGGGAAACAAGAGACTTGATTGGTAAGGAATAGGAGTCCGAGGAAATCTATATGGCAACCTTACAGGGCCAAGAGAGGGAAGTGCCTTTTTACATACCCAAATGCAGAATTTTAAGATATTCACCATAGGTTGATTAGTGCAAAAGTGATGGGGATAGAACTCATAGTTGCATCTAACAATAGCATAGCATCAAATGACCAAACAAAATTAAATGGCAAGTTAAAAATTAGCTGATAGAGTTCATACCAAAACTTCAACCCTGCATTGCATAATAGTGAGGAGCAAGCTCAGTCAACCATAAATAATCGATTCTAGTTGTGTTGCGAATGTACTTCTGACTTGTTTGGACTAGTTCGTCAAAAATTACACACTCCACCTTTGACTGGTGCAACACAGAAGTAGGGTGGATCTGCACTACTTGACCACTGGCTAAAGCCCTGCCATTTATTTCAGCAAATTTGAGGGGTGTGAGAGAATGGAGAGCAAGACAAAACATAGAAGAGGATTTCAAGGGAAGGTTGGATACTGTGACCAACTAGTCAAAAATTTGTTAACAGGGGAGAATCATATAAATAGCAATGAAATCTGCAGGAACATGCAAAATGGATTTCTTAGCTTATATATATTTAATACCTGTACGTTCCCTCAGGTTGCTTCCAGGCTGCATTAAGGAAAAATGAAGCAGCAAGGCATCTACGGAATTGAAGAGAGTCATCTCCACAAGAAGAAATAGAAAGATTCATTTGTTCGACATGCCCTCTAATTTGACTGCATTAGAAAAGGAACTCTTAAATCAAGATTGCTAACCAACAGTGATTACAATAGGTCAAGTCGAGAGAAATTTTTGAACACAGAATCCGTATTGAAACAAAAATGTAAGTGCAAATCCTATATAAAGGAAAAGGGAATAAATGGAGGAGAAAAAAGGGTACACAACCTGTGAATGTCACGAGCCTGCCTCAGTGAGCGACCATTAATAAAATTTTCCTTGCACCATTTCCTCAGAATCTTTTCATTTTTCCCTTTGATATTTTTCTCATTTTTTTCTGTACCGAATTCCGTAATTCTCTTCTGTAAAACTTCATCAGCAGCTCGATATACATTAATCAAAGTAAGGTGGTCGCCATCTGGACTTGCAAAACACTTCTTCGCAGTTTTTGCCTGCCAAAAGAAAGAAAATGGTGCTTTTTAACAGAATGTATAACCAAGTTGGGAAAAAGAGCATAGTTTAATGCAAAAAATAGAAAAATGCATAGTTCTTTAACATCATATTGACAATGTTTGAAACATTCAGAAACCACAACAGTCCTTTAGCAAAGAATAACGCATCACACAGAAATCAGTAAAACCGAACCCCGAAAGGTTTGAAAAAAGAACAAAGAAAGAAAAACAAAAACAGAAGTTAAAGTCTCATTCAGCTCATGCAAGCTTCCAACTCTTGAAAACTGCCTAGACCAGTGTTCTAGTCATTCCTTGAACACCCAGTCTCCCATTGACTCTGTCCACAAAATATTACTAATTATTGCCCATTTTTTATTACACTCATCAATGATAACTTAGCTAGGCAAAGCCAGACCATACTGCAAACAAAATTATAGTCAGACACCATGGTGATATTACTTACCATTTGACTTATTACAGAAAAAAAACTTTTGTCGAAGCTCTAGTCATCTTAGAAACATATAAGGACAAGCAATTTATAAGCACATACCTCATCTGACTTCTCACGGGGATTATAAAAGATAGATTCCACAGAGAGCATTGCAACAGCTATCAACATTTCTTCCAAGCAGTTGAACTGATTAGCAAGGATGAGAGCTTTGGAATAAATGGGGTCTAAGGGAAGCCGAGCCATTTGATGCCCGACTGGATCTGATAGCTTACAGTCATCTGTCAAAGCACCCAGCAGGAACAGCTGCTCCAATGATTTTTGAATAGCTGCCCTATTACACTCAATAAAAGTGGATTAGTGATCTGTTTAAAAAATGCAGGTCCCTTGAGACAGTACAGCTGATAAATAAAAACGTCTCTATGTAACCAGACAGCTTCAGAAATACACGCCAGATAGACAACCATAAATAAGGCCATCTACCCCAAGAATGAAACAGACAGGGATATTATCTCTTACCGTCACCATAAGTAACTAGATGATCAACCAGCCTGGATTAATCCAATTATAACATCTAGAATTCAGCCTCTACACCAGAAAAACAATCAACATATATAATATTTTACATCTTAAAAATATTAGATCTATTCCCATAATGGTTATTCGTACTATTTAATACAAACCAATAGGTAACTTGACCTCAGGCTCTACAGTAAATGTGGGCTGAATTCAAGTTCAACTGAAGGAGACTTGGAGGTGAAATAGGGACCACATGAAGCCCCAAAAGGAGGCTGAAGGGGTTAATATGAGAAAGTGGGTAGATTATATACTTTATGAAAGAAAGACATGGCCATAATAAAGCAGAAAAGGCATGTGGGCAATTTAGAATTATCTAGGTTAAGATCTTAATAATGGTAACTAATCTACAGTCATATGCTAATAGCCAAATGCAAAATGAGAGCAGTGCACCAAACCAATGGAACTGTGAAAATAGCATCTGAGATTCACCTTGATGGTTTTTCCAGGAAATCGAACCCTAAAACATCATCAATGCCTAGAGCCTTGAGCTGCAAAATGACATTAGAGAGGTTGCACCGTTTGATCTCTGGCTTTGTTGAATCCGCAAGCTTCTCAAATTCACTCTCTGGGTAGAGTCGAAAGCATTTCCCTGGTCCTTCACGGCCTGCACGTCCACTGCACTAACAAACTGTCTGTCAATCTTGATTATTATTTGATCAAAAACACCACTTGATGTAAGACAACAATGAGGATGTGTGTGTGTGTGTGTGTGACCAAAATAAAAAATCACAAGATTGTTATAAGAGATCATAGACCGTTTCATAGTTGAAAATCACATAAGAAAATCACTCATATGCTATAAACAGTCTTATCTACAAGGAGGCTTGATGACAATTTGTTAAATGAAATCCGTAAAAATTTAATAAGAATCCAGTAATCAAAACCAAATTAAACCTCATTGAAAGTCAATAACTACTCAAACTCAATAGCCCCTGTGTATTAGTATTTCTCTCTATTTTACCCAAGCATAATTCAGTGTACCTACCTCCTTTGAAGAGCCTGAGCTTTTGATGTTGGAATAATTATCAATGATTCCATCCCTTTGACAGGATCATAGCTACGTGCTTTTACAAATCCAGGATCTATAACATACTTGATTCCAGGTATAGTCACAGATGTCTCAGCAATATTTGTTGCCAATATCACCTACAAAATGCTATCATTAAGAAATTGTATGATCACACAGAAATCAAGCCACAGTTTAAGGAACATATAAAATATTAAATCCACTGTGTGTATGCCAATATCACCTACACTAATGTGTATAGTAGAAACCAAAAAAGCATTTAGAAACAGTATGTTACATATGAACTATATGTATGTATTCGCTGTATATGTATGTCTCTGTGTGTATGCATGTAGAGATGATTTCTATTGAATATATAAATAATAGTTATGTTTACATAACATTACTGACTGCTAAGATTCATGCATTTTCATTCTTTTTCAGAGATGATGCCAGTAATATATAACTTCAGATTAATAACATCATTGTGGTCGGATAGATATCCATCATCAATTCCAACCATCACCAATTCAAGCACTAGAAAGAGGCTGGCTCACTTAGATCGTTAAGCTACCTTACGACATCCAGCTGGAGCTGGCATGAAAACTCGCATTTGCTGTTCTGATGGAAGAGATGAAAATATTGGAACAGTTAACAACTTTCGACTTCCTTCAGGTAATTTTTGAAGTTGCTCCTGTACAAGTCTCTCAACACCTTCAATCTCTTCTTGCCCAGTTAGGAACACAAGAATATCACCTGGGCCCTCCTCCAAATGGATCTAGAACAAGTAGTAGTAGCAATATAAAAAAAACTACACAATGAACGTGAATAGCTGTAAAAAATAAAGTCATATTGGTCAAAAGGCTATTTATAGCCGATGAGCATCACTTTTCGAATCAACCACATTTGAATCAATTAATGAAAAAAGATTTCTTTTAAATATATATATATATATATATATATATATATATATATATAGAAAGATTGACAAAAAAGATTGATTTTCACCCCCACAAAAAGCTATTCTAGAATAGAACTGAAGATCTTGATTTCAGTGATACATGTGGCACCAATGAAAATAAAAAACTGAGTTGGATATCATAAAAACAGAGACACTAAAAATGTTTTGACAGATGGAAATTCCGGTGATCAAAAGTGAAAGATAAATTGCTTGAATGCAAAGTCTCAGAATTACAAAACTTGAAAAGACAATGAAGTTCAATAGATAATAACCTGGAAAATGGTAATCAAGGCTGCATCTACATAATCTGTCTCGGCTTGAAGTGTATAAAATATATCCACGTGATGCTGACGGCCTTCAACGTGAACAGCTCTGGCACCACCAAAGTACTCAGAAAAAAGACGTGCATCCAAACTGGCAGACATAATTATTAATTTCAATGGAGGAAATTTCCTGCTTTGGCACTGCTTGAGAAAACCAGTGCACTCAGCTCCTTTTTCATTCTCCTTCATTGTGCCACTGCTGGCCTTCTTATTATTGACATTAGCATGGTCAATGACAGATTTCGACCTTGCTCCTAGTACATTTTTCAGTAAGCCCAGCAGCACATCGGTGTGGACAGTCCTCTCATGAGCTTCATCAACAATGATTACTGAATACCTAGAGAGATATGGATCCAACAATGCTTCCCTGTAAGTGCATCAAGACTAACATCAGTTCATTCATGATAAAGATCCATGACATAGATTGGTTAGGTAAGCAAATAAACCACATTACAACAATCTGAAATCTAATATCTTAACCATCTTCAGTCCACAAATTCATCATTCCTCTCTCAACATACCCATAACATAACTTACACAAATGCCCATTCACAAATGAATAAAAATGCATTGAAAATTTTACGACCAGATGATTCCCTGAACATTAACTCCATATAACAAAATGAACTAGTATCAGCAATCAATAGTACACAGCAAGCAACATCTTTGATCCTGGCAATATCTACACAAACTATTGAAGAATACAACTCTTTCTTACGAAGTTCCACATAAATGAAGCAATACATCGATTTTAACAGCAAAGAACCAAATTCAAGCACACTTATTGATTACCTCAGCAGCAACCCATCAGTCATGTACTTGATCCTTGTTGAGCTGGAAGTGTTATCATCAAATCTAATGGAATATCCAACCTTTTGACCCAACTCAACACCAGATTCCTCTGCAACTCTTTTAGCAACCGTGACAGCTGCCACACGCCTAGGTTGCGTTATCCCAATAACTTTTTCATGGGGACATAATCCAGCATTATACAGAAACTGAGGCAACTCTGCAAATAAAAATCGATTGAGTTTATAAGAGACCATGTTTTAGAATCACATCAACAAACAACGGAAGTGCAAAATTGAAAAGAGCTTACGAGTTGTTTTTCCACTTCCGGTTTCACCAACAATGATCAGAACATCGTGGCTTTTAACCTCCTGAATAAGCCGTTCCTTAACTAGAGAAGTAAAATTGAAAAATAGAGAGAGAAATTAGAATGTATATGTTCTTAACATGAAATTTCTATGGAAGGAAAGATAGAGGTTTTAAAAAAATACCTGATGCAATGGGTAGAGACTCTCTCTGTTTTTTAATTCTTTCCCTCCTGCATTGCAATTCATAATCACTTCGATTTCAGCCCAAATTCAAAAAAAAAAAAAAAAATTAAAGAATTAGTGCTAATAACTTCAATTGAAATTCATGGAAGTGAGTTCGAGATTGGAAGTCGAATTCGATTCTCTTTATTTGTTAACTTGAAAACAAACTCATCAAAAAGCAACAAATAAAAGAGTGGTGCGTATGTAGGTGTGTGAGAGAGGACCTGGCAATAGCATCTCCGTTGCGAGATTGGATGGAGAGCTTGGCGCCCGGTTTGTGTTTTTGAGCTTGTATTGTGTTTTTGGGACCGTTCTGCGCCATTGAAGGCATCTCTAGCATCAGCGAGAGAGGGACAGGGAGATATCTTAAGCCCTTCGCTGCTCAAATACTACAATCAAACGCTCCGTTTTCCTCTTTGGGGTTTATATATATATATATATATATATATATATATATATATAGGTCAGTCCTCGCCTCGGAATGGTAGTATTTTCTTTCTTTTATCAATGGAAGTCTAATAGATCTAGGTTACCAAGTATTTCTTTTAGCGGGCCAAACTAAAACTCCATTACAAGTGAACTTTTTTATTTTTTATGAGATTCTAATCCACATTCAAGCGAAGCAAACCTCATTTAATTACACAAGGAAATTAAAAAGGAATAGAATCTTTCTAATTTTCTCTGTACAAATCGGTAGCACAAGCATCAAGTAGAATGGCATGTAATTCTGCGCCTGAAAGAGTTTGGGTGGTTTGATGGAAGAGAGCCCAACCTCGGTAGATTATCTTGTTTCATACGATGAAACTGAAACTTTTCTTTCTCGATGCAATTTCCCGATTACTTGAAGGGCAAAAATAAATAAATAAACAATTAGAATCTCTTGATTCTCTTTCCATTCCCGCTCCTATAAACTAAACAGACAAACTTGCCCTAGAGCCTAGGGGTAAAGGCTTATGGCAACTCCCGTTCAAATCTGTCATACAAGTGAGAAGAGGTTGCGTTTGTTCGGGGAAAACAATTTCTAATAGTAAAAGTAATTTCAGTGAAACTATTTTTTAAAAAATTATTTTTTAAAAAAATAATTTTTAGTATTTGGTAATTATATAAAAAAATATTAAAAAATATTTTTAATATTTATCTCAAATATAAAAACAGATTATGATTGTTACATCAATGAGTTTTAACAAAACTTCAACAGGATAGACATATTCATAATTTCACAATATAATATGCATTTATAAAAGTTTAATAAATTTTTATAAATACTAACTCTAAGATTTAAATTCAAAAAATGCAATGTATATTTTTAATCATCAAATCAATTCATCAAAACTACTTACGATAAAATCAAATCAATATTCACATTTAGTAAAAAAAATTCTAAGTAATCTTGGCATTGTTATTTTGAACTACTCAATTAAGATTTTTTTTTAAATTGAACTGATAATTTAGTCTAAAAAATAATTTTACCAATTATTAGTTATCATTTATAGATAATTATTCATTTAGTTTCAAAAAATTAATGTTGGAACAATTTGTAACTAATTATTAATTACAATTATCAAATAAATTTTACAATTGATTAAAATTAGTCACAAATTATTGATTTAGTTGCAAATGAATAGAGTTGAAAAAATAATATATTTATTAATAATTAATTAGTTTCAATTTTTTCATAAATGATTGCAATCTTATGATAATCATTTTCAATCATGTAAGTATAGTTTAATTGGTGTTTGAGACAATGGTAAAAAAATAGAGATAAATTATTGAAATATTTATTATAAAAATAAATTTAAGGTGTAAAAAAGGTTTTTAGGAATATTTAATGTATTTATAAATTGAAAAATCAAATGTTAGTAGAAATAGAGAAAAAATAATTAAATAATTAATAACGATTGATAAGAAATAAATAAAAATTAATTTGATATATTTTAAATAAAAAGAGATAGAAAAAATTGTTAAAATAATATAGAGAGAGGTGCGTAATGTGAGACCGAGATAATTCGTGAGAGAGAAGGAAAATGTTTTTCTCTTTTTTTAACTCGAAAAACATTTTTTAAAAAATAATTTATCATTTTTTATTAATTGAAAGTCATTTTTCATTGATTTTTTTGTCTAAACACGAAATAAACATCGAAAAATGAAGAGAATAAGTTCCTGAAACTTATTTTCTTCTAAACAAACACAGCCGGCGTAGCAACAATGCCCATGACTTTTAAACCTATTTTCTCCCTGGACATCAAGTTTGACTCGAAAGAAGATAGGTTTTCTGTCACAGCTACACGACCAGCTTTCTTATGATAATAGAATTACTTCCCACGATTGCAATGTCAGGATCCAGTAGTCCATTACTGACCAATCGAAAACCAACGACATCATACTAAAGTATACCTACGAGGCTATGGTAATGCAACAAAATTACATATTTACATTGGCTCATTCTTCTCAAAAATTGATCGTTGAGCTTTCAATCTTTCAATTTTGTTTTTGTTTAATATTAAATTTTTATTCTATTTATTTAGGAGTTTAGTTTTTTATTTTTTTTATTTGAATTCTCTCAATCATATAAAATTAAAAATTACTAACATTATCATATGATCTATTGACATGCAACAGTTTTATAAAAATAAATTCCAATTATTCATGGTAAAAAAATATATTCTATTTGTAATTATTCATAAAAAAAAATACATAAAAAATTCTACTAATCCCAAATTCTAAACCTAGCCCTTTACATATAGACAAAAAAAAAAAAAAAAAAAAAAAAATCTACTAATCCCAAATTACAATTATAATTTCAAATTGGGAAACACACAAACATGGAAAAAGAATAACAGACTCAATCTATTTTTATATAATGAAATTAGTGTTTAATCTGACTTTATATCTTAAAATAAAGTAAATTATATTTCTTTATTTTAAATTATGTTTATGTATTTTAAGTGTCAAACCAACAAAAAAAATTTGCACATGCCTAACTTTTTTTAAAAAAAATATCCCTTATTTAAACATGTGCAAGTTTCACCAAAAAAAAGAAGAAAAGATTAAAAATTAACTTAAATTGACTTATTTTAAAATGTAAAGACAGATTGAATGCGGACCTTGTTATGTAAAATATACTTGAACAAAAAAAAAAAAAAGTCTAAACCTAGTCGTCACCCTCTACATAATCAAATGATCATATCCCTCTCTTTTTTCAGCCATAGGAGCTGGATAAGGGGACAAAACCATAAGTAGATAAAAAAATCTCCCTTTATTTTCTTGTTGGGATAATCACACCTCCCCCAACACATGCATTTCACACACACATTTCACGCGACCCTTCTCCCGACTCTGTTTTGTATCCTTCACCTCAACTATCGCAATGCCTATCAAAGCCGATCATTTGTCCACCATTTCTAGCCACTTAAAACCATAACACACTCGGCCTCTCCATCCAATCCAGCTAGACAAGAAACCAACGACCTTCACCTTCTATCTCTTCTCTCTTCACAACTCCATCGCTAAGCAACAACCTAATGATGTATGTGTTTAGCGGGGTTGTACATAGCAACGTAATCTGTTATTACTTAGAAGTTTGCATGACGACTCTTTTCATATAGAGGTGGCATTTATGACTTCTCCTAAGTAGTTATTGGATTCATTCAATCAACAATTATTGATTGGTTATGATGAAATTGATGAGTTGAAGTTGTTAGAAATTAGTCGGGGAGTTAATTAGCATGAGGAAAAATGGTTATATGAAGAGAAAAGATCATTTTGTAATAGTTGGATAGAGAATTATTTTTCTTCTCTCTACATTTCTCTTTGTTCTTTTTGCAACAGTTGATGGATTTCTTTAAAACTTTTGTTAATTTATAGATTCATTTCGTTGTATGAGTGTAATTACATTGCAACTCGGCTTTGATTCAATAAAACTAAATTTCATTTCATTCTTACATCTTGTTAAATTGTTCTTAATCATTAGAAATTGGAGTTATATTAATTGGTATCGAACGAATTCTCGCACTTGTGGAGCATTAATCGGATATCAATCATGGAAAAAAGAAATGTTAATCTTAAAAAGATAGAGGAATCTATTGATGTACTCACAAAGATAATTATTGATCTCATGCAACAATGTGATTCGGTTTTTATACAACATGATCAAGATAGAAAAATGGTTAAATGGTGAAGAATATCACGTTACAAGCTCAATTGCCATAATCTTTAATATTACTTGCAACTCCCGTAGCCATTTTAGATAGGAAAATGGTGAAGAAGAATAATCGAGCGACTACCAAATTGCTTATCCAATGGTCAAATGGAGTGGCTGGTGATGCTACTTGGGAATTTGTGTTTGACATGACTAAATGTTTTTCTAGTTTTCATCTTGAGGACAAAGTTGCTTGAGAGGGGGAGTATTGATGCAACAATATTAATAAGCTATGTGTTTGGTAGAATTTTACATAACAGGTGACTTATTATTACTTGGAGGTTTGTGTTGCAACTCTTTTCATGCAAAAGTGCATTATGATGTGGCATGGGCGGTTATTGGATTCATTTACTCAACGAGTTATTGATTAGTTACAACAAAATTGATGAGTTGGAGTTGTTAGAAATCAATCAAGAAGTTAGTTAGCATGGGAAAAGTGGTTATAAGAGGAGAGATGATCATTTTATAATAGTTAGACAAAAAACTGTTTTCCTTTTCTCTTGATTTTCTCTCTGATTTTGTTCTTCTCTTTGTGTGTTCTTCTTGTAATAGTGATAGATTTCTTTACGACTCTCGTTAATTCATAGATTCATTTCATGATATGATTATAATTGCATTGCAACTCTAGTTTTGATTCAATAAAACTGAATTTCATTCCATTCCATTCTTGCATCCTTTTCAATTGTTATTAATCATTGGAAATGGAGTTGCATCACCTAACCACTTTTTGCCCTAACTATTTCATAGATTTGATTTTGAAAATGGCAGGATTTCTGATTTGATTTGGAGATTTCCTTGCAATTGAATGGTTTGTGTTGTGAAGCAAAAGAGAAATTTGAAATGTCTTGTTCGATTTCTTTTTTCTTTTTTAATGATCTGATAGTTATTGGATGGAGACATCCTTTTGATAGTACTGGTGAGAGACAGCCATTGAATGGCACGCGGTTTTTTATTTCTTTTTTGTTGCGAAAAGAAAGCAGAGAAAAAGCGATGGCCACAGATTTGAGAAGAAAATTTAATTAGAAATCAGTTGAAGGGAACAGCTTGTTGGATTAGTTTTTACTTCTAAGAGAAGTTGGGTTAGTTCAATTTTGGTTTTTTTCAATTCTTTCCAACTATTTTCTCTAATTAATATTTTGTTATTTATCAGTTAAGAGCTGTCATGTATCAATGAATCTCGGCTACATCAATATTTTAAGTGATTAAAAAAACTCAAATAAAATTAAATTAAAAGTTGGACACTCGAATAGATTGAATACAAAATTAGACACTCAAAACAAAATAAAAAATCAAAATCAAAAGTCAGACACTAAAATTGCAGTTTTTTTTCAAATTAATAACATTGGAACATCAACGTACACCGCCTGTTTATAAAACTTCGATGCACTGTGATCTGATGCCATTGGAACTGGGTAACTCTTTTATGTATGCTGGAAAAAAAGCTGCTGGCTCACCAACACGCCATCAACCGTCAGATCTGGTGCAACACGATTCAAAAACCAGGAACATATGGGTCTATAATTTGGGACCCAGGGAAGAAGGCATGCCTCGGGGTGAGTCATCCAGGTTTGAGGTACAAAGTATGACACAGAATTATCACGACCTGTTAATCACTACACTTCCTGCAGATGCCTGGTTTGCTGCACGATTACTTCCAAAAGTTTTTCGATTTGATTCCCTTGCAATTCTTGAGCCAAACTACAGCAGTCGCAAAACATTATATTGGATTAATAGTCAAACATGGATAGAAGAAGAGGATCACAGAAACAGTAACACAACAGTAGCTGTGAGTTACATCTAGGTAGTTAAGATAGTCCAGAGTCTCCAGACCTGTGTTCCTTTTTTCCTTTCGTAAATGCATTCAATCCTATCATAGTATCCATCTTACCCATGGATCAGGCATGCAAAGCTGACTTTATATAGAAGCAACTCAAAGTAACCCAAACCTGGATTGCTCTTTTAGGGAGAACAGCTGCCTCATGTAAACCAAGCATTTGTGCCACCTTCAAGACACATGATGAACAATAAACATCCGGTCAGCCTCAGTCACATAAAATACAAATTGATGAACCCTGATAAGCAGGGATTGTTCAACTAACAAAACCAAGAAACTGATAAACCGAGGAGGTTGTGTTAAGAAAAGTCAGGAAGAAAAAGAAGGAAATGAAAAAAGGAATAAGTTAAGAATAGCACTGACCTCTCTAAGGATCTTCTTATCACCTGTTCCACTAGGTTGATCCAGCTTGGCAACCTCCCACAAAGGGATGTCAAGCAGCACCCTAATGACATCTTCATCCAAGAAAGGAAATCTAGCCTGATGAAAGAAATTAACAGTTAATACGAAACAACGAGTACAGGAGACACAGCATGATGTGTGTCAGAATGTTAGTAATACCTCCTTTCCATTATCAGCAATACATCTGTCATCTCTCCCCATATTTCGTTTCCATATTCTCTGCATATCCAACTTCATTTCCTCATTAAGCCCATGCCAACTGATGACAGCATGTCAAATTACAAAAGTGACTATAAGTGCACACATGAAAATGGGTGATTTTGTTATTAATTTACTCTCTCTCTCTCTCTCTCTCTCTCTTACAACAAAAACTTGGTTGATTAATGGTATTTGTGTTTCAAGCCACAGGTTAAGCTACTGTAGTGTATCCAAAGTAGTACTATCCAAATTACTTGTGTAAAAACTCGCATATTTTAATCGCAGCCTAGTAAGAATCATGAAACCTAAGCTTTGCAGTTGTTCCTATGATGGGATTGAATGCATTTACAAAAGGAAACAGAACAAAGAAAGAAAAAAAAAAACAGAGTTTTACTTCACAAGATGCAGAGTTTATAATTGCAACTTCAGAGTAACACAACACACTTCAATGTGGATATGAAATTACAACGTACTAATTACTAACTCAGACAGGAAACATGAACATGGCATGAGCAGACACAATCTTAAAAAATGACAGCAACCACAAGTTAGCATGTACATGTTAAAACCATACCCGCCACATCTATACTTCGTTCTATGCCTTCCATAACCAGCACACTGCTCATCAGCACCCGAACCAACTAGGACAATCCTGGCCTTGGACTTGTACCTGAGGCGTTGTTGATTCTCGTCACTGTTATTGCTAGTTCCTTCAGAGATCCAACCATCACCACTTGCAGCCAACCACAAAGCAATTCCTATATTCAGGTCCTGAAACATTAAGCCAGTGTAACTTTACATATACAGGGATGCATAACAGAATGTTGCGTCGCTGACAGAAAGAGGCATGGCTAAAATTATCGATCAGCATGCTGATTTCTATTTTTAAATGGATGGAAAATGTTCATAGCTAGTAATAAATTAACAATAGCATACAAAAAGGACCAGATGAAATCATGACCACATGCATATTTTATGCATGTCACAAAATGCTCATAATTCCGGAATAGTTAATTCTAATAAACAACATAATAACCCAACCACTTAAATGCCTCCATGTATTCTACCAGAGCAGCATATCACCCAATTAAACAACATGCATTTATACAATTAAACCAGATTACCATGTATGTGTTTGCAGGGTTAATAAGCGACATGACATGCTTCATTTCCAAGGTCAATTTCGACAAGTCTGAATCAATCTCTACAAGCTTCCACCTGCATAATCAATCACCAGTGACTATAATATAAAGAATTCCAACAAAAGGGAATATCGTTCAGAATAAAATAAAATAAAAAACATGTGCACAGACTTGGGCCCAGTCATCAACAAGAAAATGCATTGCTATTTAATGCATCAACAAGAAGATCCATTCATAGCCAGGTCAAACTTGATACATATAGAAGAAAGTAGCTCAAAGTCCAAGGCCTTTTTTCTCTTACTCTCCTGTGGGAAGAACTCATTTCTTGTTGTACTTTAGGATGTGTTTGTTGTGGGGGTTGTAACTTTTCACCCCCTTTACCTATGTTTGGTTTAGTGTAGGAACGAGGGGGAAATTTCAAGAGGGTTAAATGTCGACCTTGGGTGGAGGGGGTTAAAAGTTTTCAAGGGGTGAAAAGTTGTCTTATGCATGCTCCCACTCCTGTTTGAATTTAGAGCCCACTTTTTCTTCTTTCCTCCACCTCACATTTGGGATCCACGAATATGTTCTATTTTATGTTTTAAACACTAAATTTAATTTGAAAATTGACTCCTGCCAAACACCCTTTAAACTTCACACCTTAATTCTTTTTACACCCTCGACACATCACCCTTAAATCTTACCCCCTTAACATTTTCCCTCCAATTTTTTCGCCCCATACCAAACTCAACCTTAATGGAGATTTGAAACACAAACTTTTTTAAGATTCTAATTCAAGTTATAGAGGTTTTTCCTTCCACTGGAACTTTTCAGTAAGTGCTCGAATTTCACTCTTCATTTGTCATGCATAATGTTGCATCTGCCTCTCCATAACATCATCAAAAGGGCACTAGTGTATTTAAATAACTGCACGGAATGCTTTTAGGATTTTCCAGTAACTCTAACATATCTCTATAAGAACCTAGAAATTTCCCATTACAAGACATAGAACATCGCATCCAAAGAGAAACATTTATTACTGTACCTTCTCAGTGGTGCAATTCTTCCCAGTTCCTTCACTCCTGCCTTGGCGGAGATTCTATCAGGAGCAGACTGACCATCAAAGCTCACATTAAGTAAGTCAATCCCATCTGCCACAGGGAATTGGAATGGAGAATCAGCTCAGCAAAAGAATACGCAAGACAACATTTTCACTGGTTTTCTTAGTGTTCTAGTGTCAATTGCATAGCAGGGGTTAAAAGTAGCAGGAAAATTGAAGATGTAGAAATAAAAGCAAAAATGAGCAAGGGGGAAAAAACTAGCTTAGTATGACAACTTACAGCTGGGATCTAGACACTCATCCAACAATGCAGCAAGTATCATAGAATCAAGCCCACCAGAAAACAAAACTGCCACTGGAACATGTTCTTCTTGTCTACTATAACATCTTGCAGCCTATGCATTCAATCCAAAGAATTCTATCAATTAAAACATAAATAAATTTCTTCCTATAAGATTTGTTAATGCTATACAGAGCTTGTTCAATTCATTCTACATAAATAAAATAAGGTAAGTTTGAGGTAAATGTAGTCTGTTAATCATAGGGATAAAGAAGAAAGAGGGAAGAGATGTCTAGCTACAACTGTAATGATCCAATGCATTATACACGAATAAAATAAGATAATTTCTTGATGTCAAAAATTGATTGAATTTTAGTTATAACAAAAGATAAAAGAAAATTGCATGATATTTAGTCTAGCTTAAAATAATACCCATTATATGCAAACACGATAAAACAGTAAGTCCTACGAGAGTATAAATCCACAGGAAAGCTATTCAATTGAATTCTGACCTCAACCATTTTGTGTTGTGAAGTGCGCAGCATCACAGATTTTCTTAGAGCACCTAACACATTATGAGCAGGCAATGAAACCATTGTTTGATAAGGCCCTACATAGTGAGGGGAAAAAAACACATAAGTAGCTTGTGACAATAAAACCATCAATTTTAAAACTAGATCCATCTTCATGAGTCAAAATAAAAAATTTAGTAACTAAAGTTTGGAATTTTTACACATAAATTTATTACATATCATGGTAGAATTATAACCTGATTCAAAAGTCATTATGTCCGATGAAGCTGGATACATGAGATGTTGCCCAACTAGAATCCCATTGCTTGAACCATGTAACTCCTCAAGTTTTGGATCGAAAGAAACTCTCTCCCATTTAATCAATTCCATCAGCATGGCATTACCCCATTCATGTTTTTTTACTTCACCAGCAAGATATCCATCTAGCTTTGAAGCATCCATTGATAAGCTGTACATCCCACATGAGAGCTCCTCCCAAAAATTGTGGTTGGTTCCATTTTCAACTTCAAAATCTGTACCAGTTGACATTTATTAAAATTGCTAATTAGTTTAGTATGGTCTGGAGAAATAGGGTCAATAGCAGAAACAAGCTACTGCAAAAAAGGAATGTAGAAGAGAATGCCGGTAAGGGGTTAATGAGATACAAATGTTTATACACATGGTGAGATCAGAGCAAAGCATCTCTAAGAGGAGGCATTGCCATATTTAAACATGTGCTTTGTTGCTTGCACATGTAAACAACAATCAATTCTTCAAGATCTGTAGAATAAAGCCTGCATGATTTTTGCTAACCCAAGTAAGCAGCTTGCATAAATGCCAAGGCATTTTGCAACCTACCCCGGAACTTAGAATGGTAGTAATGCCTATTGCACACAAATGGGAAATTTTAATATTTAACCCTAGTAGTGCAAAACATCCAAGCAATGTGCATGTCCAAAAAAAAAAAAAAAAACAAAGAAAGAAAAGAAGACCCCAAACTACTCAAAGAAGGAAATATGGCAAATGCGGAGGGAACAGACAAGCAATCAAGAATTTTGATTCTTTTGATGACAAGGAAATATCATCATTCGATCTACATTGCATAAGTAGTTTATCAACTAAACATGCTCATTTTAGTGGGAAATATTGTTTCCAATCATGCAAATAACCTTGTCACCAGCCAGAGTAAAAGAAAATGTAGCCAGGGGAACAAGAAGAGTAAAGCTCTACCAAGATTTATATACCAGAACTCCGATCGACAGAAGAAAATGGGGATACAGAAGATAGCAAAAACCGAGAATCCTTCACAGTAGGCCAATGAACAAGCAGGCTCCGCCTGCCAAATGCATCCCGACCAAACCACAAGGTTCTTGAACTCTCCTATACACAAGTATAGCATAACTTCAGCTCAAACAATAATAACAAAAATAATAACAATACCTCATTCAATCTTGATGAGAGAAAAAAAAAAAAAAAAAAAACCAAGCATGTGCCCGTAATTACCTGCCAATAGATAATAGCCCATGGCCCCTTGATAGTTGAAAGAACATCTGGAACAGAACTACACCCTTGTCCAGCAACAGAGCACGCGCCTGCATGTCCATTGGAACCACAAGAGCAGCACTTGCCTAGAGTTTGCAAAAGAACTTCACCGTCATTCATGTCACTATCCACATGAATTCCTCCAAATATTTCCCCTTCAAAATTACAAAACTGAATTAGACTCCAACTTAAAACCATTACACAACAAAACTTACCTAACAGACATTAAGGGGAAAAAAAGAGTATACAAGTCAAAAGTTTACCATTATAAATTAGTACATTCCCGGATGAGTCAACAAATGGCTGAATTATAGAATTCAGTCCCCTCAACTGCAATGCGGCGCCAATAAATAGCAGGTCGCCAACAGAATTCCCTACTTGAGTGTAATTACCAGCTTTTCTATTGGAAAAATTCAGCAAAAACGATTCGCCGTTTTCTACTTCGCCATCCTCAATTACTACAGACACCAATCCTCGGTCCTCAACAGAGCTCAGATTTTTATTATACTGAAGTATAACCTTCTTGCTACCCAAACTGTCAGGTCCTCGTCTCCGCAGAGCTGCTTTAAGATCGTCAACGGAAACCGCCACTAACTGGTGCACCAAAACTCAAAATACATGTAAATAAAACTAAATTGATAAAAAAGTAATAGTGGATTGGAGCGTTTTATGAGTACTTTACTTACTGGCTCAGGATTAGGAGATTGGAGAAGGATGGATGATGACAAATCGATGCGAATTCCAGAGACAATCAGGGCGATTCCACACATCCTAATCTGTAAGCTGTTTTGCTAGCGCTGCGGTCTGCAGTTCTTTGCTTGGCGCAAGTTTTGGAGGCTTTTGGAAATTTTAGTTTTCCTTTTTTCGATGACTCGATTTTTGAATCTAAACGTTCAGCGCTGAACAAGCAAAAGCTTCCATAGCATAGTGGTAGTGCGTTCGCTTCGTAAGCGAAAGGTCGCGAGTTCGATCCTCGCTGGGAGCTCACAATTTGATCAGAAGCAATAGTGGGTTTTTATATTATGACTTTTGATTTGTTTTTCTTTTGACTGTTCTAACTTTCTAAAAGATAGGAGTGTTTGATAACCTAATTAAGTAATTTAAAAAATTAAATTGTACTGTTTAATATAAAAATTTTGTTTGATAATTTAAATAATTTCATATTAAAACTTTAAGTTCAGTTAAAATCTATTTAATCGGATAAATTAAAATTTTTAACTTATCTAATTAAGTCAAACTATCTAAAACATACTCTATCTCTCTCTCTATGTATGTATGTATGTATGTATATATATCAAAATTTATAAATTATAATAATATATTTTAAAAAATAAAATACTCATTTGAAAAGCATAAAAAGAATTCATTATATAAATTATAATAATATATTTTTAAAAAATAAAACATCGACGTTATAAAATTTTATTCCAAAATTCATATATTAAAAAATCAAATTTATTAACAAATAAAATTATATCAAAAATTAATTTGATGAGAATTTTAGTAAGAAAAAAATAATTGAAAAAACAAATTTTAAACAATAAGAGTAATATAATCGGATACATGTGTTCAAACTAAAATCTTAAAAAAAATATCATATATATTTTATCATCTTCAAATATGCTTATTATATTCGATACTTAATTTTCGATAAATACCAAACGAACTTGTCATGAACATATTCGATATTTAACGGATTCAAGCACTTAAAATTCAGTACTTAATAGATTCGATACTTAATTTTCAATTTTTTCAAACACCATCCGAAACTATTCACATTTGATTATCAATTTTATTTTTTTTATATACAAAAATCTCATGCTAGATTAGTTGTTTTTACCACCCCAATAAACTTCTTGGGACAAATCAGCACCGCTGATAACATTATTACTCTGCATACAAGCTTTTGGGACCTATCCATTTTTTTTTTTCAATTTCATCAAATTACTATTTTTTAAAGAATTCTAATTAACTTGTTAAGATCTTAACTGAGACAGTTTTTATTTTCATTTTTAGCTTATTTCAATCCGTTAAAATTCTTAACATTTGTTAAACAAAAAAATGATTTTTTAATAAATTATTTATGTAATAATAAATCTTTTTTTTTTTTTGAGACAGAGGACAATGATCTGGCAATATATTCTTAAATTTTTAATTGCTTCTCTTATGTTTTTAAAATTTTTTAAAATATCCAAATCTATTCTTCCGATCAAATTTTCTAATCATAAGATTTTTTTAATCAAAATATCCTTTATTAAAATGAAAAGAAATAAATAAAAACACTTAAAGTCACATAACCTATATGTTCTATTTTTTATTTTTTTTCAATCATAAGTAGTTTACTCAAAAAATTCATTTGGACGGAAAAATTAATCTCAAAAATAGATTAAATATTTCAAACACTTTTACATATAGGTATGATGCAATTAAAAACTTCGAATGTTGTTTAAAGACATATGAATATGTTTACTTTTTTATCCTTGTGTTTTCAACCGTCGGACGAGTAGATGTGACATTTCTACCATATAATAATTTATATCTCATTCCTTTATCTTTTTCACAAGAAAATAGTACAAAAATATTTGTCTTGCGTAAGATGTTTTATAAAAAAATGTTTTTGTGGTTTTCATGTGTTTGTTTTCTTTAAAATATTTTACACAAAAACTTATCTACATAAATACTTTACAATCAAATTTTTAATTTAGTTAATTTATAGACAAATGTTTTCAATTCATAAAGTTTTATAAAATAATTCATGAACAATATTCCACTATAATAATTTCAATTGCTACTATAACTTTCACTACTATCGTCGTTACTATCAACATCATCATTGTCATTTTTACATCTATTACTTCCTCTTTCACCTTCACTTTCGTTATTATTCCTATCACCACTATTGCCATAAGCATAATAATTACTTATTCAGTATTATAAAATTTTTCAATATATATTCATCATTCAGCTATTATTGCACCTTTCACATCATTATTTATCAAACTCGAGAATTTTTAACAAACTTTCTTATAAAGAGACATTAGTTAAATGGTGATAATTTGTATAAACAAACATAGTTGTTATCCATCATCATTATCATTTTTACATCTATTACTTCCTCCTTCACCTCCACTTTCGTTATTATTCCTACCATCACTATTGCCACAAGCATAATAATTACTCATTCGGTATTATAAAATTTTTCAATATATATTCATCTTTCGACTATTATTGCACCTTTCACATTATTATTTATCAAACTTGAAAACTTTTAACAAACTTTCTTATAAAGAAACGTCGATTAAACGGTGATAATTTGTATAAACAAACAGAGTTGTTATCCATTATATAAATTTAATTTCTATTGTGTGGCCTACAAAACTAACCTCTCTCTATATCTATATATAGACAATTTTAAATTTTTGCAGGGAGCCAAGGCTTCTCTTTGCAACCCCTAACTCCGCCCTTGCTGAGTGTCATGATTTAGTAATTCAAACATTTATCTTAGAATTTGAATCGTCTTGAAGATCAAATTCAAGTGAATAAAGTCGTAAGACACGCACATGATTCAGTTATAAAAACACAAAATGCAATGTCACTCATTAGATTTGTAGATTGTGTAATATCACTAACTTGTACTCTCCCCATTCCAAAAAAATTGTTTTTTTTTTTTAGTTTTTTGTATAAATTAAAAAAATTATTAATTATCATGCAATATCAGTTTTTTTTTCTAATTTTGTTATAATTGTATTTAGACTTAAGAATTATATTTAAACAATCTTTTATAAAATAGACTTTAATTTAGAGTATTTTAAAAAATATATCACTTTAAATTTTAATCTTACAAAGTACAAGTACAGTTACAATTAGAACAAAAACCACAACCATGAATAATAATTACGTCACCCCAAACCATCACACATGAAAAATCGTGGAAATGCTGCAGTAACATCTCCGTCCCGATAAAAGCACTTCACCTGTAACTCTTTGCCGTCAAACCAATCATGTCCGGGCAAACTTGTCAATGAATCGCCCCGCAAGACGAAGTGCTCAAGAAAACCAAGTTATAATTGATAACAAGTTTTCCTTGCACAATTATTCCCCAAAGCTGTTAGGTGAGCTTCATTTGCCAAACCATCTTTATAATGAACATTTTGAATGGAGGATAGACAATACCACCAAGATTGCAATCTCACACCACCATCCTCTCAGTTGGATTTGGACCCATCAAGAATATTCAAGAAAGGCCAGGCCTAACCTACAGAGTCAAAACAAGTCGAGCACAGCCTAAAAGCAAGCAGTATTTGATTCGGCTGTCTTTCTCAAAAAACACATGCCGCTGGCATCCTAGCATGTTTTACCAACTAGCCCATGGTCAGTGCATTCCAGCTTCCGTATGACGTGGCGAGTTTTAGTTGGTCTTCAGAGTCTCTTCTCGTACATGGCCCTACAATTGGTGACAGCTTCGGTCACGGCAATTCCAAATTTTCAATGCTGGATTTTAGCCATTTCACCGCAAAGCTAAATTATATTTACTTATTCACTCTCCCAAAAAAAGGAAAGAAAGAAAGAAATAACAACCACTCTCCAACCGCACGTGTAAACCACTCTCCTTAACTTCAACGCAACCTCAGTCTCACTTGCCTTTAAGCGCGTTCGTTCTGACACCTCTCACCTACCCTCACTGCCATACAACCCATCTCTCCAATAAAATCAGCGCCGTCGATCACACGATCATGCTCAAATCACAGCTATCAAACCCCAGGACCCCACCATACTCCCTCACGTGACACTCTATTTTGTGGACCCCACTTCAAAAATTACGAGCAAGATTGCAGGATAAAGCAGCGAACGGTACCACATAATAACCCACGCACACACAAGTTCGTTCACGGCAAGAAAAAAAGCTAGAGTTTCTCTCTTCAAGTTAGAGTCGGTTGAGCGAGAATTCTAAGTTCAACCCTATTAAGAATAATTTTTAAATTATATATATATAAAAAAAGAATTATTCTTTTATGATCAAAAGAAAAGAAAATTTTTCTTTAATATTTATGGTAGTATAAATATCTTCTGTCTTTTTTTCCCTCACTCGCTAGCAACCGTACCATTGCGGCTCTCTTTTCTCTTGTTTCTCTGATAATAATAACTATCTAGCGCCGCAAGGCACTGTTAGTGCAGTAATAGATTCATTCATTATCTCTCTCGGCGTCGAGCGAGAGAGATAGCTTACTGCTGTTTTAACGAGGTTAGACATTATCTAATCTTGCTTTTGTTTGATTGATTGTGATGTTTTTGTTCGCTTATGGAGGTGTTGCTATTCGTTGATATATTGAATCAGAAGGATTCTTAAAATTTTGGGATTGCATTTTTTTAAATATGGTTTTAGATCTGGCTTCTGTCTTAGGTTCCTTTTGTAGTTTAGATCTGGAATTTTCTTTCATCCGTGTGGTTAGTGTTACGTGATTGACTTTTTTTGTTTGTAATTTTTTTTTTGTTTGAATTATTTGCTGGATTGGTTTTAGGTGTAAATTTGGGGTTTTTAAATTTGTTACTTTTTGGGCACTGAACAAGTTTGCTCTTTTTTTTTCTTTAACCTAACATATGTTGTCAAAATCTTACCTTTGTTTGTCAAGAAACTAGCATTGGGTTTTTATTGGAAGATACAGAAACATTTTTTTTTAAGTGGTTAGTGTACCGCACATGCTGCTGTGTGTGTTAAGATGTTTCTTCTCTTAGACCAATCTTTTGAATAATTGGACTATAAAAATTATAATGCCAATTGGGTTTTCTACTTTCAAGCCCTATACTCTCAAAGCATATGGTTTAGGGTTTAGTTATTAAGTTGCTGAAATCGATTCAGCATTAATGTTGGGTTTCGATAATCTAATGTAATCTCATTGTTCTCTTCTTCTTTTTTCTCTCTTTTGAGAAAATCATTGTTAGTTATTTGTTAGTGGCTTCCATCCATTAATAAATTAAAGCCATTCCTGCTGTGGACTAGGATTGCCAACGTTTGTCGTAAATGCAGGATTTTTTTTTTTTTTCGCGATGGCTGCTTACCACTATGTTTGTGCTTGCATTTATTTTTGCAATGTTGGCATTCTGTCTGATTTCAAGTATCATGCTCAATATTCTTTGACGTTGAGTTTCCTATTTGTTGATTGATTTACTTATTACTCTCCATTCATTTATATTTATATGTGAATTTAGTTTGGCTTTAATTTACAACCCTCGTCAGTGAATAATGTATCTCTTTTCCTACAGAGATGGCAACGCAGGTGGATGAATCTATCGTCAAACCTGACCCAAAAGTGGTGGGGAATGCCTTTGCAGAGCAGTACTACAACACTTTATCCAAGTCTCCAGAGCTGCTTCATAACTTTTACAATGACGCAAGCCTGATTGGCAGGCCAGGCTCAGATGGTTCGGTGTCTCCTATTTCAACTTTAGAGGTAAGTTGCGTAACAGATGTGTATAGTTACGTATGTAGATTGTTTTTTGCGTTTAATAACTCCCCAGCAAGAAATAACAGCACTAATCTTGTAAACTCAGTCACACTGATGCTATTCTTTTCACATGATTTATTTTCCACTAACATATTCCTTAGTACACATTTTGTTCCCTTGGAAATGAGGGTGGTGTGAGATTATGTTTTTGATTCCTACTACTAATAAGATTCTCATTTAATCTTTTCCATAGTTTTAATCTTAAATGTCATGGGGGGCTTAACATTATAAAAAGAATTGAAATTTTATCTCGCTTACAGCACAAGTTCTTTCATTTTTGAGTAATCAAATGCTATTACATGACGAGAGAAATTGAAATCCCTTTTCATTTCCAATTCTATACAGACCAAATGTGGTATCGAAATTAATATATGTAATACTAATGATGTGAGAAACTATTGATTCTATTAGTTTCTGCCATTCTTTTTTCCTCCAAAAACAATTTAGAACTAGAATTTTTATGCACTATGTCACTTAAATCTTGATTTATTTGGCACTTTGGTTTCGAGTTCTTGAAACTTGGATGCTAAACTTTTCCTGCTTGCTCATTGTTAGCTTTTTTTTCTACTTATTTGAAACTTTGGGCAATGTTGTGCCTTTCTCTGACAAAGAAATTGAAACTTGTTGTTGGGTGCAGGAGATTAAAAAATTGATCCTTTCTCTTGATTATAAGAATTGTGTAGTCGAGATACAGACTGTTGATTCTCAGGAATCTTATAAGAATGGGGTAATTGTGTTGGTTACTGGTTTCTTTGCTGGAATGGACAGCTCTAGACAAAAATTTACGCAAGCATTCTTCTTGGTCCCACAAGATGATGGGAGAAGATACTTTGTTTTGAATGATATTTTTAGATATGTGGAAGAATCCGAGAATAAGAAAATTAATGATGCAGACAATATTGTTCCAACTACATCTGTTACCCCATGTCCTGGTAGGTTCATGTATGGTTTTTGTTGTTTCTTATTATTACTCTAATGAACAAATGTTTACTATCAGCTTTCTAATTACAGAGCCAACCTCTGCTCCTAATCATTCCTCTGTCTCTGCCAATGTGTCTACTACTTCGGAGGATGGTGGTGATCAAGCCAAAGAATCTGGTCATCCCTTGGACAATGGGGAGATTCCCACTTCTGAGAAAGAGATTGTTGTTGAGAGAGAGGTTGTTATTGAGGAGGAGGTTGTTACCACTCAGAATGATGCTGACCCAGTTTCTGAGGCGGTTGTTAGTGTCCAGGAGGATGCCCCCAAGAAGTCTTATGCATCAGTGGTGAGTACATTTACAAAGTTTTATATGAGCATTATTGAATATGATTGATTCTTTTGTTCTTGTTTTTTCCAGGTCAATGCATTGAATTTCAAAACGCAACCATTTCAACAGAGGGTTTCACCTGTGAAACCTGTGAAACAGTCACGTATAGCTGTACCACCTGTGGCTTCTTCTCGCCAAACAGGTTCTCCTCGCCCTCACAGCAATAAGGTTGTGGAAATGAACAACAATGCTGCAGGTTTTTATCTTTTTCTTAGTGTATCTATGGGTTTATACCTGGAGTGGGCTTTGTAGCTTTTCTTTCCTCACAAATCCTCTTTTCTCAATTTTCCTGTTTCAGTTGAGGGTTACTCCATATTTGTCGCAAATTTGCCTATGGATGCTACTGTTGACCAGCTTGTACAGACTTTTACAAGATTTGGGGTCATTAAACCTAATGGTGTGCAAGTCAGAAGTTATAAGGTCAGCCTCAGGTTTATTATTATAAAATTTGTGTTGAAAATTGTCTTTTGAAACAATTATTTATGTATTTGCGTTGCCCATCTCTGTACAGCAAGATAAGAACTGTTTTGGCTTCGTGGAATTTGAATCAGCTGATTCTGTGGAGAAGGCCGTTGAGGTATTATTGTTTATTTTCCTTTTTTTGGCTGAAAGCTTTTTTTTTTATTCCCTGGTTGTTTGCTGAAAAGTTGAGCGTCACATGATGCTGCACGAGAAGAATTATTTTCAAGTTCTTTAATTTCATTAATTCTGTAATTTTACTGTTATTTAGGTCACTTGTTATGATGGTGGGTGGTAATATTAGGATTTTATTATTTTGGAACTTCTGTGGTAGTAGCATTTATTTCCAATTTAATTTGGAACTTTCATGGGTTGTTGTGTGCCCAGATAAGCACACATAATTTTATTATGGAGGCCTTTTCATGATGAACGGAAACTGAGAATTTCTGTTTTGCCTTGAGAGGTGGATATCTTGATTCAAGAAACATCAATTTGTGGATTGAAGGGTTGCTAAGTGGATTCTAGGTGTTTTTATACTCTTTCTACCTTTTCCATTCAACTTCTACCCATGTCCTGCATCACTGCATGTTTGGGTATTTTGGATACACTACAAGACTTTGTTCATTTGATGACCTTTTGCTGTTATGTGAACTGTTTGCGTTTTTTTAATTATATTGCATTATTAATGTACTAAAGTCCAGTCCCAGTTTCATTTGATCATTTCAAATGCAATTGCTACTGCTGTTTCTCTGTTGGTGGGAAATTTTTGTAAGACACCTTCAGATATTGTCATTACACACTACTGTTCTAGTGAGGTTTATCAGTGAACACTTATGTTCTTGGGCAACTTGTTAGAAGTCTTGTTTAATTATTCTATTGTGCGATGTTCTCTTCCTCTCTCCCTCCCAACATATATAGGACTTCCCTTAGTGGTTGTTTGAATTTGAAACCTCCCTTCTTGGGGTCTTCTAAGATCTTATTCTTGTTGGTCCTCATTATTAGCTATTCTGTATTTGATTGTATATTTAAGATGTACATTTTTTAAGCTAAGGTACACTACTGTTGTTCTGCATGCGTCTGAGATTGTATGCTATTGCAGGTCTCTACTGTTACAATTGGCACTCGAACAGCACATATTGAGAGAAAGAATGGTAAGTTGAATTGTTAATCCTTGTAATTTATTTGTTGTGTTTTGTCCTAACAATTGGAGAGTGCATAACAACTGATTTTGTTGTTTTTGCAGCCAAAAATGGTGGTGAAAAGCACCCTGCAAGAAAGGGTGGTTTTAGGAATGATAATTTTAGGAGCCGTGGAAACTTAAATGGAGGCCGTGGCTATGGCAGAAATGATTTTGAGAATCAGGGTGCAGTCTCTGGTCAAGCTCGAGGCACCACTGGACGCAATGGAGAAGCTAACAAGAAAGTTTATCAGAATGGGGGAGCTAGAGGTCCCCGTCAAGCTCAAGCTGGAAAGAACTAGACCGTCTTTTTTGCTAGAATTTTGTTCGTTACATTTTTCCCTATTCACAACCAGATAGGAAAGATTTAGGCAACTAGGTTGAGGCATTTTAGTTTTTCTTTCTTAAAATTTTGGTATTATTAATTGAGGTATTCTTAGGTATCAGAAAAACTGAATATGCAGGGTGTTTATGTTTTGGAATATTATTTTCTAAGAAATTATTTCGTAAGTTTTCATGCCTAATGACAGAAATATGTTAATTTTTATTTGAATGAAAGTATGTGAATCTTCCAACCCATTGAAAGATGTTTCATAAGTTTTCATGCCTAATGACAGAAATGTGTTGATTTTTATTTGAATGAAAGTGTGTGAATCTACCAACTCGTAGAAAGATGTTTTTTTTTTTTTTTATTGTTTGAATGGAAGTGTGTGAATCTTCTAACTCATTGAAAGTCAAAGTAGAACGGTAGAAGTTCATGCCGATTCTGTTTACTGCTATTTTATTTTCTTTCTGGTGGACTCGATGAAACTGCTCTAAGTTTCTTCTTTTGTTCGCAGTCTCTAGCCCAAGGCTTTCAATCCACTAATGAGACTGCTGCCTTCCAATAGCTGCCGCTCGCTTTGGTTGATGGTATTTCTGGAAATTCGTCAGATAATCTCTAATAGGCTCAAGCTTTCTTTTTATAATCTTAATATTCAAATACTATCATAAATAATAACTACCGAAAGTTTTGACAACGTGTTTTCTCGTTAAACTGTGATAAATCCGTTTTATAAGGTTTAAATTAATAATTTATATATTTTTAGAATTAAGGAAAATATTTATAAGTTGATTAGACTTAATTACATTTTTAGTATAAATTAAAAATCTAAATTTTTGTTATAAATAAATAAATAATAGTTCCTTAACCTTATATAAAGTAAAAGTACAAAGATGAGACAATAAGAATATGAATAAGAATAAGACAAAAGATAATAAATAAATAAATCTGGCAGCCTCTTTATAAAAACGGGACAGCCCCTCCTATTTTTCTTATTTTGCATTTCGTTCATTTCTTTCTCTTCCTCCTTCAGTCTCTCTATGGCCTTATTTCTCACCTCCATTTCTAAGCCACAGTCTTATCCAAATACCTTAGAAATACAAGAAAGTAAGATGCTTGGAGTAATTAAATGATTGAAATTGAGGTTGAAGATCCATTTATCAAAGATAAGAATTTTTGTCATTTGCTTTTAAAATTAAGGTGTTTATATGAGTTTATTGATAATCAAGTTGTTTTGTGTTGGTTTTCTTATTGGAATAAAAATCGAATTAGGTTAGGGTTAGGAGTTGAGTTGAATTGAATTTGAAAATTTGATTATTTAGTAATTAATTATTCTAATTGGTGTTTGAAATGAGATAATGGTGGTGTGAAATTAATTATTGGACTATAAGTTTATGAAATTTTTAAGTTGGTTGTGATGATGAATTGTAAAGATAAGTTGTGGAAAGAGAATTGAAATGGAATTAATTATGGATTGTTGAGGTAAGTTGTGTGAAAATTAAATTGAAAATTAAAGATGGATTATAGAGATAAATTGTGTTAAAAATTGAGTTGGAAATTTGTGGTGGATAATTGATTGTAGCAAAGTGTAAAATTAGATTGTTGGAGAAAGACTATAGAATAAACTTAGGATACGAGTTGTTGGCTAATTGTCTAGAATTGATCGAGAGAGAGTAAGAGTTTAGTTACTTCAATTTAAGCCTTTTCGATATATTCCATTCTTGTAAATTGTCTTGTATTCTAATTTTTAGAATAATTCATTTGCTTTTGAATTATTTTTTAATAATTCATTTTTTAGAATATTAATGATTATTCGATTATTTTGTATCATTAGATTATTCGGAACGAACTACTCCATCTCAAGCAATCTTGACTTTACGTAATCTTTTGATTTGCACTCGTGAGTGAATAATATAAAATATATCATATGTTTAAACTTTTTTAATATTTTCATCATGCATCATTGATTTAAATATGTCTTAATCATATCCGTTAGGGTTTAGCCGAGAACAGATTCTTTGTGTAATTTGAAATGATTTGATATGATTCTGAAAACGGTTTGATTATGTGTTTTGAACAAGAGTTTTACTTAAGGTTTGACTTTAATTTTATGGATTTAATTACTTGTTTGATTGAGATTATTGATTATGATTTTATTCATATAATTTAAATAAGTATTTGATTATAATTTTGAATATGAGTTTAGACTTCGATTATGAGATTTGATATCAAATTGTATTACAAAATTTGATTTTGAGCATGAATTGTATTTTGATATTTGGATCTTGATTTGTTTAGATTATATATAAGTTTATTTGATTTTTCATTTAATTGATCTGCCTTGGGTTACTTGGCTATGGAGGGCGTAGTTCGTGAGCTCACCGATACGTAATGCTTCAACTAATAAGAGAGGTTTAGTGCTAACCCATGTTTTGTCCAACATACGGTTACCTAGCTACGGAGGGTGTAGTCTTTGGTAGTTCGCATCTAATAATACATTATGTTTTGATCACCTTAAGTGTAGATTTTGCATATTTGATTTGGTTTGATTATTCTATGTATAGATTTCGATACTTGATTTGATTATATGTATTTCGACATGAGATTTTGATTATTAGTTTGAATGACTTGAAAATATGAGATACGATTTGATCTTTAAATATGTATTTGACTTTAAGAAATATGCATTGAATCTTGAAGAGGTTTTGAATTATCATCCATTTATCTTTTTTCTCCCTTCAATATGTTATATAATATTTACTTACCGAAGTCGTTGTTTTGCTCATATTTCGCTATTTTAATTTTACGGGGTTTGTGAGATCTTATGTTGACCTCCTCGAACTATTATCTTGAAGCCAACACACATATTGTGCAGCTTAATTATTTGTAATATTTTGAACTTATATCTTGATATTGTTATACACTCTAGAAGCTTTATAGTTATAATTATGAGAGTCATGTTAGTTTATTAATTAATATTTGAATACTTATAAGCATCGTGAATTCGAATATGATATAACTAATTAGGTTGTTAATTATTGAATTATAAATTGAGATGAAATTTAAGAAGTATTGATTAAATTGTGACCTAATATTGTAAATTGCATGGGCGTTGTGTGAGGTTGTTGACTTGAATATTATTTTAGAAATGTATAAATATGTGAAATGGTTGAAACAAGATAAGCCCTTCTTTCAATTTTCACGTCAGTCATGACCATATCTTAAGTCGTGACATAAACTATATGATTTGATAAAGGAAAGAGAAGAACTATAAGGATTTGGGTAAAATAACTGACATAAGTGGATCAGATTGCGGTGAATGATGAAAGGATTCCTAAAAAAGTAATACTTATTGATGTGCTACTTAAATGGTTTAGTTAACAGATTCCATTGTAAAGTCAGTCATCTTAGATCTTTTCTCTTCAAAGCGTTGTATATCCAACCATTTATTTGGTTGAATGGAACGAAAGTTAGTTGCTAGGATATGGTCGATAAGCCATTAAAATACTATTTTCTCACAAATGGATGACTTGGCTCGTCATATTCATAGGCAGATGTGAGAAGTATATTAGTCTCAAGGATATGCATGATCAAAATGCTACAACTTTTCCATCCTCGATTTACATAATAAGCAAATTCAGTCTCGATATACTTTTAAAGTCTCAAGACACGTTTTTTTCTTTTTGGTTGAGCTAGTAATTAATGGAATTAAGTAGAGGGAGGAGGCGGAGGGAAACGTAAAGCAGTTAAGAATGAAAAAGTAAATTTGTCAGCCAGCTAAGAGATCGAAGAATTACTGAAGAACCTATGAATGAAATCTGAAATCACCATGGTCTTTGGACACGACAAGGGAAATTGCTTTTCAGCTTTAATAGCATTCCAATCATAGCGAAAATCTCACGGTGCCTGGGCAAAACCCAGTTCTGTACCTGCCACTTAAAGCCTGCAATTGTTTTGTCATTATACAGAAAAGGACCAAACATTTACCATCCACTTGTCCCCTTCACCCTATCCAATGAGCGACACGTGGATTGCAGATGTGTCGGAGAATCTTAAAAACTACTCGTCAACATCAATGACGTGTCTTGGCAAATCATCCTACGAAGATCCTCCTACCCTTTCTTTTATTTTTCTCCCCGTCTTTTTCTCGTCTTATCATTAAAAATGTCTGTGACCTAATAAAGTAACAACATTTTGCCTGCAGTGGAATCATTATCCACACACGTGGCTCAAAAATAGATTATTTAGGTGCTTAATCAAACCATTTTTTTCTACAGATGACCTAATAAAACCATATTGATGGTATGCCAAAAAAAAAAACTCAACTCGTGACCCATTGGCAGGGCTACACCTCTTTGATTTTTCCTGTTTTGGTCAAAAAAATATTTATATATAGAAGTTCATGTGTTTTTTTTCTAACGAAAGAGATGTTGGAACTTGAAATCATTCAGTGCTGATTCATCTCCCCTTTTCCTTTTCCACTATAAAAAAATATTCAACACAGAAAATAATTTTAAACACCATCATGCATGAATAAGCAATTTATGATTCTAATTTTCCTGTGTCATTAGAGGAAAGAAATTCCTTGGTCTTTTTCTTTTTTTTTTTTTTTTGGATGGGAGAGGTTTATGGCAAAAAATATTATCGGAATATCTTTTATATGTGAGAATTTAGAAATTTTAAGGGAATTTATCCGGCCCCTTATATATTCAAATGAACAAAAAAAATATAAATTAGAAATACAATTATAGCATAGCATTAACTAGTTTGGAAATTTCAACATATATTTCATATAAGTATCATTCTGAATAAAATGTATGAACTTATTTAACTATTTGTTCCATATTTATATATATTTTATGTCTGTAAATCTTTATTTTATGAATTATTGAGACTATAATTGTTTAATATCGATCAAGCATGCTTTTGTAAAATATTTTTCTTATTTTCTAAATTCAGTTCGCTAAAAAAAAAATTATCAATGGAAATATTTGTTGAGACTATACTTATTATTAAATCATAAGCTCCAGCTGCATCACGTAATGATTATTGTTATTTTTTAACTTGTTTTTTTTTATATAAAAATATGAAAGAATTATTTTTAAGTAGTTTTTGTGAATATAATCGAACAACAAAACACAACAAGTTAAAAAAAAATCATTTTATATGAAACCAACGTAGTAAATATTAATCAATAATGGTCTAGGCCAACATTTTCCTACTACTTAGTTTAAATCTTTTTCTTTTTTTGAGAATTCAGAAAGAACTTTTTAGTTAATTTGCGCTTCAGGTGGACTTGACTCGTTTTTCGGAGTTCTGGACACTCAGTTTTGTAACGTCAGCGAAAGGGTCCAAAAGACACCTCGATAGGTCGCTCTCAACTGATCGATTATTGATAATCCACTAGAAAGCGGGGACCCTCATCGTTTTCGACATGTGTATATTGGAACCATAAGGACACGTGTCACCGACAACAACACCACCCCTTGTTCCTCACTCTACTCTATTCTCTCTTTTTCCCATAAAGAGATTAAATTGATTAGGAAAAACTTTCAACTTGGTAAGGTGGACCCACGCCAGAGGCCCAATAGCATGGGTCTTGTCTGGACCACGTTTGTCATGCTCTTTCCTCGCCGATTTTTTTTTGTGGGTTCCTCGTTGACTCCATGGCTTGTTGCATTGACCGTACCAGGACAACGTCTTTAGCTGTGGAATCACGTGGTAATGAAATATATTTGGTTTCAGAATTTCGAAAAAAAACTGGAGAAAGGATACATTGTCGGTACTGATAATTTTTTTTTTAAGTTGGCAGTAAATTTTTTTTTTTTTTTATGTTATCTGATTAAATAATTATTTTTAAAATAAAAATAACGAATTTATTTATTTTTAAAATTAGAATGATTAATTTATAATTTACTCCTTACAACTTGCAAGGAAACCAGTTGCCATGAGTTTATGAAGACAAATAGCTGCCAGTGATTGATTTGATCGACTCACCACTTGCCCTTGTGCCGTGCCAGTGGCTGTTGGTTTCTCAAAGGGAAAAGACTAGTATAAGCCTATATACGTGTCGAACTTTAAGGTGCTTCAAAAAATTCCATTTTAAACAGCGGTGCAAACATATCGGCCAAGGCCGTCACTCTCACGTTTAGTGTACTAATAAGCTTTGCTACAACAATTATAGGGATTCTAGGAAAGAAGAGCTTTTTTTTTTTTTTACCATCAAATTATTACAAGCTTAAAAATTTAAATTAATCTTTTATTATTTTATTAGATTAAATATATAAGATGAGCACAATTAATTTTCTTTTAAAAAAATTATGCATATAAAAATTTGAATCTAAAACTATTTGTTTTATCGATTAGACTCCATTCAATTCGAGTAAACTCTATTGAGTGAAGAACAATATTTAAAAAAAAACAACAATGTCAATTAGAAATTATGCTTTTTTTATTTTAACTTCGTTTAAATTTAATGGTCCTCTTATTTATTTGTGACATGAGTTCTAATTGGATGTGTAAGTTGGAGCACGAGCTTTTATAGTTTTTTTGAAATTGTTAATGTCATTTGTGATAATCAGATAGGGAATGTCACACTAGAATTTTGCATTTATAAAAAACAATTTTTACCTAATTCAAACCTTGCACGGAGTAATACATAAACGAAACTACTTATCACTTTAGCCATAACCTTGGGATTCAAATGTGCATGTTTGAATGTCTAGCTATAACATAGAAATCGTAAAAACGAAAAGCCTATGATTTATGGCTTAAGCCTTTATCAAGTTAAATTTCTTTGAGGATAAATGTTCGTATGGTTTTTTTTTTTTTATCACAGTCAATTAATTAAATAAATTTTATTATCAATTCAAGTATTAATTGGATTGTTATACTGAATTAATTTATTTAATGTGAGTTCTCTAGTAGTAATGTTTCTAACATTAAGTAAATTGTATAATTAAGTGATACATATCACTTGATCTTGTCGGATCCAATTAATTTTTTTATTTTTTATTACAAGACACATTTAGTGAAATTAGAAATCATGAAAGTAGAAATCCTACTTATGCCTCAAGTCTTTATCACGTTATATTTTTTTTTATTTAATGATACATACAACCTTTATATTACAAGTAATTGATTAATCAAGTTCTTTTATCAATTTAAGTATTAATTGAATTCATACCGAATCAATCTATATTAGTGACGTTACTCGAAGGCTCCATCATCTTTAATTAATATTGAATCAATCTCTATTAGTGACGTTATTGAAGGCTCCATCATCTTTCAAAGCCTAGATATAAGCATTGAATAATCAACTTGATAGAGAGTTATTGGAGAAACATTGCATGAATTTAGGCTCTATAACGCGTTCGTAATGAGATTTTGTTCAAATATGAAATTGGTGATACTACTACTTTAATTTAGCTCTGTAATAAAGCTATTAAAGGATTAACAAATTGAGAATACTCCATTGATTATGGCTACTATTAGAACTCATGATACTTCCCCATCAAAATGACACATGTTAGAAGCAATTCAACATAGTTGACTTATTCTTATTTTTTCTTAATTTTTCCTATTTTGTAGCTCAAAATAGTTTTATTTTTATGTAGTGAGAGTTGACATGTGTCAAAATAATTAAGATTCTTAAGGAATCCACTTTTAGTATCTTTGTTAATTGTTAGTTAATTTAAGAAGTAGTGGAAAATGTTTTTGTAACTCGCCTTATCCTAGTAAGTCAATAAAAGTATTATTCAAATCTGTGAGTGTTAACTCTATTTTTTATTTTCTAGCATAAGTGGTATCGTAGTCTACTTCGAATCGAAAGAATTTTCTTTGAATTCCAAACACTTTAGTTAAGAGATGTTAGACACTACCTTAACAACAAACGTATCCCAAAATGTTTTCATTTTCGGTGGCCTCAATTACCAATTTTAATGTGTGAAGATGAAGTCCCTCTTTATAATTTTGACGTGTAAAAATGAAGTCTTTCTTTATATTTTGATGTGTGAATATGAAGTCTCTCTTTATATTTTGATGTGTGAAGATCAAATCTCTCTTTATATAGTATGACTCATAAGAATTCATAGACAATAGCCTTGAAAATCATATGGATCCTAATCAAGTCACAAGACGGACACCTACTTAGTATAATAAGTTCGGAGACAATCAAAAAACGAGATATCAAAGCCTTATTTTTTATCAAGCAAATTGTATACGATGCCAAATTCCTATAAATCATGGCTACAACCACCTCAAAATAAGCTTAGGCTTGCTAAAAAAAGAGTATCAAGGCTCAAGTAAAGTTGTGATAGTAAAACTACAAGCTCTTTGAGAGTTTGAGAATTAATTGATGAAGCCTTTTAATTCGGTCCATAAATTCTTCACAAAAGTTTCTTCGATGGTGAATCAAATTTAAACTTTTAGTCAAGAGTTAAGATATTAAAAGTTATTGCAAAGGTTGTGAAGCCTTCCACCTAAATTTAATAATATAGTAGCTATAATAGAAGACTTCGAGGATCCGTCTAGTTTCTCTCTTCGTGAATTAACGAGATCACTTTTATCACATGAGCGAGAGGCTAAGTAAAGTGGTAAAAAATCCATTACATAATGCTTTCTAATCCAAGTTGGATTTGACGTGAGAAAATAAAAGATGTGTTTGGGACAAAAAAACAAAAAAATAAAAAGGATAAAGGAAAGAAAATGGCTAGTCTAAGAACTTCAAATGCAATAATGATGTTGACTCTCGATCTTATTCTTATTATGATAAATCTAATAACAAAAATAAATAATGTTGGTTCAAAAGCAAATCTTATCATAATAAAAATCGTGAAGTGTTATCATTATCATAGATTTGGTCATATTAAAAAGAAATGTCATTTAAAAAAAATATGAGCAAGCTAAGTTCATGAAAAGAAAAAAGGTTGTTGAAGATAATTTATTTATTGCTTCCTTTGAAAAAATATTGATGTATCTAAAGAATCATGGTACTTATACAATAGTTGTAGCAATTACATAATATAGAACATGAGTTTATGAAAATTGATGAGTCTTACCATTTATAAGTGACGGTAGGCTACAACAACAAGGTTCAAGTGTGTGGCATGGTTACTATTATTCCGATGTTAGAAAATGATAGAAATTTTATTCATAATATTACGTATGCTTCAAGCTTGTCTCATAATTTGCTTATCTTGGGTCGGTAAATAAAAAGAGATTATTATGTTGTTTTTGACAACTATACATACTTGATATATAACAAGAAGAGCATGGATTTAATTTACTTGATTAAAATGATTGGTAACAAATGTTTTCTATATGTTCTCTAGAGTTGTTGATAATGCTTTTAGTTCGGTAACTAATGATTTCATATTTTAACATGAGAGGTATGGTCATCGAATTTATAGTAAATTCAGAATATTGTTTTAGATTTGTCCATGGTCAATGGTAACAAACAATTATGTGAAGCATGTATTTTTGGCAAATATCATCGAGAAATATTTCCAACAAGAAAGTTATAGAGAGTTATAAAGTCTTTAATGTTAATTTAAATTGATTTATACAGCCCAATGCAAACGGTCTTATTAAATGGAAGTTGATATTTTAAGATACTAGTTGATGACTTCTCGAAGATGTCATGATTTTTTTTACGAGAGAAATCGAAGCATTTAAGTACTTCAAAAAAAAAATTCAAGATTGTAGTTGTAAAAAAATAAATGGTTAATCAATTCTGATTTTGCATTTATAGAGGAGAGTTCATAACAATAGAGTTCGTGCTATTTTGTAATGATTTTAGAATTCTAAGAAAATTATAGCAAGTTATACTCTTCGGTAAAATGAAGTTGTTGAGCGCAAGAACATAACAATTTCTTGGGCGTTAAAGAAGCAACTAAACATAACTTTGTTAAGCACTAAAGTAGAGTATATTACAACTACAACTACAGCTTATCAAGCGAGTTTGGTTGGGAAAGTTTTTAAAGAATTTGAGCTAAGGCAAGTAAGACCAATTGGCATCTATTGTGACTATAAATTCAAAGTAATATTAAAAAAAAAAACAATTCATTAAAATAGGATAAAATATATTAAGACATTACACCTTTTCACTCAAAAATTGGTTGCTAAAAGAATGATAGAGATATTGTATTGTAACAATGATGAACAACTAGCACATATTCTCGTAAAAAGTTTATTGAAGAATAAATTTTAAAAGTTTAATCCATAATATGTGTTGAAACTTATTGAATTAAAGAGAAGAATCTTAGAAGCAATTCAACATAGATGACTTGGTTTTATGTTTTTTTTAATTATTTCTTTTTTTTTAGCTCAAAGTAGTTATACTTTCATGTAGTGAGAGTACGCATGTGTCAAAATAATTAAGATTTTTAGGAAATCTACTTCTAGTATTTTTATTAGTGGTTAGTTAATTTTGGAAAGCAATCCAACATATTTGTATAATTTTTTTTATCCTACCAAGTCTATTTAAGTGTGTCTTTTATTGTGTTTGAATAGAGAGAGTTTGAGTTTAATAAAAGTATTATTTGGAATAATGTGTGTCAACTCGCTTTTTTCTTCCAGTAGCCAGTTGATTTAGAGATTTTCAAAATTAACTCACTTCTATCAATGCTCGGTGATGTTAGCCTTGAAGTGATTATTTGAATTGCTTTTGGGGAAGTAATACTATTTGCTACTTGTTATAAGAACTTTATTATAGATCAATACTAGTAAAAGGTCTAGTAGTTAGATAGGATGTTCAACTTGCTAGAGATATGAATTACTCTAATGGAACTCTAAAAGTTGATAGTTTAATGATTGTTTTAGCTATCAATAGCAATTATCCAACTTCAACTCTGAATGATTGGCTCTTATGCATAAGACATTGCAGCTTTTTCATAATATTTTTCCTCTTTTTTTCTTTTAAGCATGTTAAAAGGGAAGCCAATAAGGTAGCTCATTCCTTTAGCAATTTAGCTATGCTTTCAATTAGTGAGCAAGTTTGAGAAGAGGATTTCCCTCCTAAAATTTCCACAATTCCAAGCCTCAATTATGAGTTTCTATTTTAATAAAACTCGTCTTTCAACCCAAAAAAAAAAAAAAAATTATGAAAAATACCATATAGTTAAATGGCATGAACATTATCACCTATACTTTTTTTAAAATTACACTTTACACCCTATAATTGTAATATTTATTTTTTAAAAAAATTCTATATTTATAATTCTATTTTTAGTGCCAAATTTACGAGGAAGGAAATATCTAAATTATTAAAAGTTTGCCATTATTTTTTTAAATGGCCATAATGCTCTTTGAAGGCATTTCGATCTAAAAAAGAAAAAGAAATCCATTTGAGATGAAAATATGCCTTTATTTATTTATTTTTTTTACAATTGTTTATAGTTTATACAATGTCTAAAAAATTTCAAAACACCCAAGTATTGAAAATCTAATGAAAAACACCTTAATCATGTTACTACACACTGAAAATCTAATTCCAAACATCCAAATCCATATCAAATCACCAAAAAATTCAAATTAAAACATAACATTTAAAGCATTTCAAATTTAAATACCCTCCTTATTTTTCAATGTCAACACTAATGTACAATAATGAAATCTCTTTCTTTAATACCATCAATCAACAAAGCTTTCATGGATTAAGATTTCAAGAATATTAGATATAATAAATACAATAAACGTACCTCTGTTAGAATTTCAAAAACTAGGATAAGCAAAAATAAATTATTTGATAAATGTGATGACGAGTTTTGTATTCATTCATTTATTGGTGTGAATTTATTTATGATGTTAATTAAAAAAGTAATGGAGAACACGAAGTTAATATTTAACCTATTGTGGATGAAGTCCACAAAATAAAAGATGAATTAAAGAGACTATAAATAAAGTATCATCTATTGCGAGGCAATATTACAAGCTTCAAGTATCTCTTAGTAGCTAATATAATATGTGTAATACTAATGTATGCATTTGTATTAGTGTTACTAATGAATAAGTAGTAAAACAAAGCCTTGTATTGTTACAAATCAATGTAATTGCAATATAATGCAAAAAAAAAAAAAAAAAACAAAAAAACAAAAAAAAAACTTACCTATATTGTCTAACATACTCATGGTGTCTCAATTAACCCATATTGTCCAACAAACCCTACTCTCCAACAAGCCCATACTATCTAGCAAACATCCATTGTCCAACAAATCTCCCACTATCCATCAAACTTTTATTATCGAACATACTCATAATGTCTAGAAACCCCCATTGTCCAAGAAATCCCCATCGTCCAACAAACCTCTATTGTCAAACATACCCAAACTTTTCAACAAATCGCCACTATCCAACAAACCCTCACTATCCAACAAACACCCACTATCTAGCATACACATATTGCTAAAACATTAGGAACACAATGTAATTCAAAAAAAACATTATCCATTCACCATAAGCAACACAAAAATATAACATGAATATAAACAAGAAATTGGCATCACATTAATTAAAATTATCAATATAATTAGTTTATTAACTTATTGGTGTTCAACCCATACCAATTATAAAAATATTAAAATAGTGCATCTAAATATGTGAGTGTCTTAGGTTGTAATATATCAATTAAGGTATTATAAAATCGTATGTGCCAAAAAAAGTTGTTACCTATATAAGAAAAAATAACTAATATGTACTCCAAAATAAGTATATATAGCATTACTATTGATCCCTATTTAGTGGTTGTCACATCCAACACAAGTAACTTTATTCCTTCCTCTCTTTTTACGTTAACCAAATTAAAATAAAATTTAATTATAAGAAAATATTTATCTTCAATAATTAGGAAATATAATATTATAAGAAAATGATCATTCATTATTTTTTTATAGTAGAAGTTAGTTCACCCATTTTTGAGCCGCCAACAACCTCGTCGCCACCTCTCTTACCATCAACTCTTCTCCTACCACCCGTACTACCTGTTATACCAATACCACCTATATTTTTACCATCTTAAAGGCTTTCACCTTTAACAATAGCTTTTTTCCCCACCATTTTGAAAGCTATTTGAACCGCCACCAATAATATTACTACTTCTATTACCATTGATTCCTCTCCCGCCAACCCTACTACCTCTTCTACCATAACCATATCTACTTCCACCATACCGAAGACTTTTATCTTCACCACCAGCTCCTTTCCCGCCACTCCTACCTTCATCGCTAATTCTTCCAATCTAAGCAAGCAACAAACTATATGTTAAAAAAAAAAATTACATAGTAAAAAAAAGTGAGATCATATTGAAACAAAAAACCAAAAAACCCGACTCGTCCTTTGTAACTCGTTCATTAGTATCCCTTCAATAAGTTCTTAAGTTGAGGCCAAACTATTTACATGTGTAACCATTTCACGAGTATTTGACCTTTTCCTCAAAGCGATAAAGATTTCTTCTCCATATTTTTTTCTTCTATTATTTCTTGGTCTATCGATACCCTTTTTTAGAATAGGAGGCAAGACAATAAACTTTCCTCCTTCATTTATTAGGTTTTTTTCAAGAAAACATTGAAACACTTCGAGTATAAGTCTTAAAAAAACTAGAGATTAGGTAGTAACGATAGCAGTAATATTTTATTTACCTATTTTATGAGATAAACAAGTTACTATATACTTACAAGGGATTCCAATCATACTTCATTCATCATAATAACATTTATATATCTTAATGTTTACATGTATCCTTTATAAACCATCATAAACTTGATACTCATATGTACTAGCAAGTTTTATTCTTAGATTCCTTACCTTATCAAGAACCCCCATCGCAAATAGAGTAGTATTGGTCTTCAAGATGTTCTTTTCATAAATCTAACAAAAATTCTTGACATTATCTTCATCCTAATATTCTCTAACAAACTCGTTATAAGTAAACCTCTAAATTTTTCAATCTAGTTATTAAAACATTCGACATGTTATTGGTGACATGATAATTCTTCACATTCTTATCAAATACATGCCTTGACCATCATTGAGCATATATTTTATGCAATCACTTAGTAGTTTTAAAATTTACTTGCTCCAATAACCTTCATATGTTTTTTAAACCGAAAGGCGAATAAGTCTTACTAGCCTCCTAGAAACCTAACTTCATTTCGAAACCCACAAACCTTTTTTTCTTGAAGTTGACATATATATGTCCGGCATAATATTTATGTATTACTTAAGGAAAATCTTCACACTATCCGAAAGACTCCATGAAGAAAAGTATAAGTCAGTTAAATCATTGCAATAATTTATAGCACTAAGTCAATAAGAAAGTTTAAAGTATATATAATGCTTATTTATACTTTTTATAGATCAGATATAAAACATTAAACCTTCTCTTCAATTCTAAGCTTTATACAATTATATAAAGCTATTAGAAACCACTCCTAATTATTATTATCCTCTACTTAAATGACATCGTAAACTAATAGAAATAGACCATTGTACTGCGACCAAACACATAGTTGCAAGTAAAACTCTGTCAAATTGACCCTTTATATAACAACCATCTAGTCCTATAAATCTTTACACCTAGGTAAAAAGCCATTTTTCATTTCTTTCAAGCAAATAAATTTCCTATTAACCTTCTTTGGTGATGCGAGCTTTAGAGTTGAAATTAAGATCATAACCCAAATAAACAACTAAACCAGGATTAGTCTATCTAACAACTCAACATATTTAGACTGTAATTATATGATTCATCATGACTACCCTCAACAACTTGTTTTACCTTGTTTTTTGCCGTCCATAACAGCATTGGCACAAGTTATAATCCATAATTTTTTTCTAATGTTATCTTTAGTGGTGCATTAAAGATTTCAAGATCAACACCGATGTAAGGCATCAATCTCTTAACAATCCATGTTGAGTTAGCAACCTTATCGGTTGATGATCTTATGCATCTATGTTTTTCCTCCGATGTTTTCACCATAAAAGCCTTCATATCGGGTAATAAAAGACACATAAATACTCTAATTTCAACCAACACCCTTACATAATACACTAACCTTGTCCTTTCCATTCTTTCTCCTCTTTAATTAATATCTTTCTCTTGGCTCATACAATTTTAGCATATAGGCATAGGCACTCTCAATAATCATTTACTTTTCAAAAACTATTTTTTCATGTTTTTTTAAAGTAAACATCTTAGTTGTCACCTTCTTAGTTGGATCAATAATTCTCTATTTTTCCTTTCGATCTTCTTCATCACTTATGTCACTCTCACATATAACTACTCAACTACCAATCTTTATCACTCTCATATTTTTCCACCATCTCAATTTCAATTACTTCTTTGGTATTCTTACGTATGTTCATAATTCATTCATCTTCTTCGTCATCCCCAAACTCATACTTATCCTTATCCGAAGGTAAGTAATCATCATAAAAAATGTCACTACAACAAGTATATTATCATCTAAACCAACATTTCTACTCACAATAACCACATAATTATCATCACCACCCTTACTCGTCATTCATATATGTCCCACGAAACATAATTTTGTGAAAAATACTTGTAGTTGAGCCTCTTTTTGTTGTAATTCACAAAAACAATCGATATTAGGAAACCTATCGGCTCTCTATCGGGATCCTTCTCCACGTATAAATGGATCATCTCCTCCTTTTTGTAGGTAAACAAGACTTCAATAGTGGACTTGTCATTAATTAATTCAACTCCATGATCATCTCGAATAAAAAATCCCCTCAAATCCATATCCAATACTTGTTTGGCCAAGAACAATATGTCCGGATATATAAGACAATTTGTAAATGAACAATGCTCAATGAATCTTTGATCTCCATTATGAACATGTATTTCGGGCATTTTGTGACCTACATTCAACCATAACGAAGTTAGAATAAACAATCAATTTCTGTCCAAAAAATGAACATTAATTTTTTTTTTAAGGTTTTTTTGGGATTTTCAAATTAACAACTTCAAAAACTTTCAAAGCCATAATTATTTAATATGTTTTACTCGAAACAAAAAATTATAGCATAAACAATCAAATTCAATTAAAAAAATCAACATTTACCATTTTAGGTATTTTTCATATTTCAAATTAATTACTAATAAAACCTTAAAATTCTTATTTTTTAATGTGTTTTGCTTGAGACAATCAATTAAAGGATAAACAAGTTGTTTCGAAGTAAAACTTAAACATTTAAAAAATTAGATTATTTTTAAATTTTTAATCACGAGATGAAAAAAATTTCAAAACATCCAAAATCTTTATGGGTTTTGGTTGAAATTAGATAAAGATAATGTTAATTCCAAAATTTTATGGATTAAATACATTTTCGAAGTAAATTTTTTTAATTTAGGTTACACTCTTCACATACTTGATTTCGTCTTCAAATTGTCCTACAAGCATCTTTAATTCGATCAAAAACAATCACATCAACAATAAATCGGTAAAAGCACGCAATAAAAGCTTAGCTTTTAAGAGATTTGAGGATAACAATTAGTGTTCTATATGGTTTCTCTCTCTTCAAAGAGAGAGAAAATAGCAAAAGAGAAAAATTGAAAATTATAAAAGAGATGAGTTATGTTGAGTTGACATGTAATGTCTAATTATATATAAGAAGGTATTGTTGTTTTTTTTTTCACCGGTTCGAAAAATCATCGTAAAATAAAAATAATGTAAAATGTAATTTTTGAAAGATAGGAATACATAGTGTTTTTGCCATCTAATTATATGATATTTTTTGTAATTTACCAAAAAAGGGATCTTTATCAAGTTAGGGATACCCTGGTTTCAATCTAACTACATGATATTTTTCATAATTTACACCTCCCACAAAAAAAAAAAAAAAGAAGAAAAGGGATCATTATCTAGTTAGGGATACCCTTGTTTCATTTTAATAACATAGAATGGTGAGTGGATGGTACAATTTAAAAATAAGTAGTAAGGATATATTTTAATTTATTTCCTAAATTAAAAAAATCATTTAAATAATAGATTATTTTAAAGGGATATTTATTAGAAAAATCCTCTAAAATAATCTTATCTCCAAGAAACCCATCAATTTATTTTTAAATCTCTCAAATCCAAAATAATATTTTTCTTACCAAAACACCAATAGTTAACCTCTAACTTAACACCGGTTAACTATTGGGTCTTTTAGTAAGAAATTTTTTTATTTTTAGGTTTGAGAGATTTAAAAAATAAATTGATGAATTTTTTATATAGAAATTTTTTTAGAGTTTTTTTTTATATAGTTTTTATCTAATAATAAACTAATTTCATAGTTTTTAATGAGTTTGATATTTATTTATTTATTTTCATGATCAAGTCAAGTTTTTTTTATTGCATTCGAAAGAAAAGGAAGTTTTTGAGGTTACTTGACTTTTAAACACCAACATTCGACTATTTTTTTTTATTATACTAAAAAATTCCTTATATTAGATTTTTTTTTATCGATCGTTTGTTTCATTAATTACGAAATTAATTTTACTATCTAGTAACTATAGCAATCGAGGCAATTTAACTAATTAATATTAATGAAATGAGACTCTTGTCATTTTCTTGTAGTTTAATCAAAGTGTTATAATACAAATAAGAAAAATAAAATATGTATGATTATGAACGTTAGTGATTTCTTAAATCCTAATATATTGATAGAAACAAAATATCATCGGTAATACTAGTTTTTAATTAATCAAAACTCAATATTTTTTTATCAAAAATTAACTTAAATTACAAGATGAATGTATAACATATTTTAGTGCATTAATTAAATAAAACATGATCATCCATGATAGAAATACATATTTTGAAAAATAATGGTTTTATTTAAACTATGGATAATTACCAAAATACCTTCTAAAAAATCTTCAATCTAAAAAATTCGCTATTGTATTTTTAAATCTCCCAAACACAAAATAATATTTTTAAATCTCACAAGCCTAAAACAATATTTTTCTTACCAAAACAATCAATAGTTAACACTAGTGTTAATTATTAGGTGTTTTTTATAAGAAAAATATTATTTTAGGTTTGAGAGATTTAAAAATAAATTTATGGATTTTTTAGATAGAAGATTTTTTTAGAAGGTTTTTCTAATAATTATCCCTATTTTAAATACATTTTCAGTCAACAATAAATTTTTTTTTTCTACTCCTTCTCACAGTAGCTGCTTGTTTGAAAGTGAGATTAATACATGAGCAATCAATTGCATAAAAACGAGTATATCATTTCAATTGAACAATTTAGAGATAATTATAGCTTAGTCTTTGTAATTTAATATAATTAATTAATTATTCCTCGTGTTTTGAAAAACTATTACATCATCCCCGCATTTTAAAATTCATTTACAATTTACTCTTTGCAGTTTTTTATTTTAAATTCGTTTTTTTTCTTTTTGAAAAATAGAAAAAAAGAATGCAGGTGAAATAAGAAAATTTGATTAAAAAAAGATATTTTGCGGAAATAAGAACTAGTATAATAAGAATACTTTTTAATTATTTTTAATATCACAAAGGCTAATTAATGAATTATGATAAGCTACATGGATTTAGGTTACTATTAACTCAACATGCTGTTTCACTGCAATGGGCAATCTTTGATATTACTTAAAAACGAAGGGAAAAAAAAAAAAAGGAAAATCAAATTATCCCATACCTTCCTTTTGAAAGGAACTCAAGAAAACGTAGTCTCTGTACATACAGCTATCTATGCCTTTATTTTTTAATCTTTTGTGCACAACTGGCATCAGATGAACTCTTCGACAACCCTATGAGAGTGAGAGAGACCAAACCTCAAAGGACAAGAGTACCAAAATAAAAGCCGCATCTTTCGAGTAACAAGTACCACTCCTGCTACGAGTATCCTATCCACGTGTCAAATTCCCAGACGCCTCAACTGACAAACACGTGGCCACTTTTTCTTGCTTCTGTTATATCTCGAAACGTGTCCTCTGCTCTAGAAGTAGAAAAGCAACTTGCTTTTTTAGGTTCCTTCAACACAAACTTCAAGAAGACAAAATTAATAAAATAATAATACAAACCGTACTTAATTATCTTACATAATTCATTTATTAAAAAATATCAACTACCGGATAGATATTTTATAAATTAAATGAATGAATTTTATTATTTACTTCATAAAACACCTGTACAGTAGTGGAGTTTTTTTTTTTTTTATATATAAATGTATATGATGCATGACCATCATTACTCATAAAATAATCGTAACCCAAATTTAGTAAAAACGAAAAAGGTTTGTGTCAGTTACCCCCAACGTGTCGCTCTGTATCCTCTCGTGATTGCCACTTGGCTCTCTCCTAGCTACCTTCTCTCCTTTGTCTTAACGTGGAGGACATTTTCGCCCCTCAACAAATACAATTTTTTAATTAATTAATTTCTTTCTCTTCTTTTTCTCACTAACCAAAAAAATAAAATAAAATAAACATCTCTCTCCCTCACTCTCCGTCTTCTTCTGTTTTTCCTTGTTGATTTCAATTTCTTCAAATCGTCTTTTGCTTCTGTATTCCGTTTTTTCCCCTCTTAGTGGCCTTAATTCAGTACTAAGTATGTTATTATAAAAAAAAGAGAGAGAAGAAAAGGGCATTAACGTTTTAGTAGTTTGTTTTCTTTTAACTCTCTGTTCTTTGTTTTTGGTTGAGTGTATGCAAGTTGGGTTTTAATTAATGGTAACGCTTTTGTTAGATAACACTGAGACTGAGAGAGAATTCTTTAACAAATCGAACCAAAAAAAAAGCCTTCCTGACAAATGGGTGTCTCAAAATCAGATCAAAAAAATAATTCAAATTATCCTCCTCGTCCTTCATTTTGTTTCATAGACCCCAAATATACTTTCTAATAATCCACTAAAAACTTCATTAAGAAGCATTTTTTTCCCCTCTGTTTTATAGAGCGACAACATGGGAGAAGCAAACGAGAATAGAAATAGAAGCAGCAGCAGCAGTAGAAGTAGCAGAGCAATGGAAAGTCTTTCTTTAGAAATAAACAGGTATCCAAGAGATCTGTTACAAAGATTCATGTCAAGTGATGCACAGCAATTTAAAACAGCAACAGGCGAAGGAGAAGAGACAGAGGAGATTGAGTTAAATCTTGGGCTATCACTTGGTGGAAGATTTGGGGTTGATAAGACTTCAAAGAAACTAATGAGATCATCATCAATAGCTGGTTCAATACCATTGTTGAGAGACCACGATGCTTTAAGTACACCTCCTGTATCTTATCCTCCTCTCATGAGGACTTCTTCTTTGCCTACAGAGACAGAGGAGGAGTGGAGGAAAAGAAAGGAAATGCAGAGTTTGAGAAGAATGGAAGCCAAGAGAAGGCGAAGTGAAAAGCAAAAGAATTTGAGAGGAGAGTTGAATTTAGAGGAAGTTAAATTGAATAAAGGGAATTGGGTGCCAACGTGGGCTAATAAGCAGATTGGTGTTGTGAACAGGAGTGGTAATTTGGCAGGGCAACAGCAGCAGCAAGGGTCACAAGGGTCTGTGGAGTCTCTGGGGGGAGCTCTTCTGGGTTGTCAGAAATGGAGAGCAAGTCTGTTCAAGGTACTTTTTTTTAATTGAATTTTCAACTTTCTGGTGCCTGATTTATTTTATTTTATTGCTTTTTAAAGGGAGTTTCTGGATTGGATTGGAATGATGGTTTTATTTTTGGTGTTTGTTTTGCTGTTGGATTTTGGGCTGGACGCTAAATTGATCATGTGGTTGCTGTGGTGTTAGATAGGCGGGTTCTTTTATTTGGATTGGATTCTGTGTGTTATAATCGAGGGGTAGTGCCTATTTTGTGTTGATAGCATTGCTATTGTTTTGGGTGGTTCTGGTTGGTTACTTTGAGATTGGGGGAAGGTACTAAATCTTGGAAAGCAGTGCAACTCTTGCTCAACTAATTTAAGTAGTATTAGATTCTGTTGTTGGAGTTTCTTTGGTTTCATCAAAACTTGAGAAGAAAATTATTGATGGTCCAAAGAAGGAATCATGTTTGTTTCAATCTGAGTAATCTTTTGAGATGTAACAAGGTAGAATATTAACTCAAGAATACTGATTGTTGCTACACACGGGAAGTAAGCGGATTGCAGTAGCAACTAGCATGTCTCTCATGAAAAAGGCACTGCATTTTTTGCATCTGTCCTTGTTGTCAGAACTGAAATGATTTTCTGCAGCTTATGAAATCGAACTTGGTGGATACACGGTTTTTTTTTTTTTTTTTTTTTTACTTATACAGAATAGATGGCCTTCGTATCTTTACCTATACAGAATAGATAGCCTTCCATGCTAGGCTATACTGTGTAGCATAAGCAGGCAGATCCATGCAGCCAATCCCAACTAGTTTGAGATTGAGATTTAGTTGAGTGAGTTGACTTTTGTCGACCACTGCATGAAGGGAAGTTAACATCCAGGTTGTTTACTTTGTTGGTAATTGATTTCATCGGGAGATCACATTTTGGTAAAATCATTGTAAGCCTGTGATTGTTTCTGGAAGCTTCCTTGTACTGACCAACTTCATGAGCTTGCTATTCATTTTGATCGCCTTGATTGGGCACTCAAGTTATGCAGTTGCATTAGTTCAAATGCTTGGAGAACTATGAATCTTAGTTAATTAGTCTGGTTCTTAGTTGGCTGTAGGATCTACTTGCTTGAAGCCAGGAGGGATGCACATTTCTAATGTGGCATCAATGTAGAAAATATTGTCATGATTGCCTCGTCAAGAAGGAAAGGAGGAGGAGGAAACATGAAATGAAATCTGTATGCATTTGCTTGTATAAAATGGAGTCAAATTCCCATTGTGTATGTATACTTATTTTAGTTGTGTTTTGCCCAAGTAGTGGTGGAAAGATTCTTAACCATTTCTAAACTAGGTACAAATATTAATATTTTGCTTATCTGCTACTAATCTGCTACATGCTGCCGGTCTAGCTTATTTGAGTTCACAAACCAAGCATCTTACTTGATTGTCCACGCCATTCCATACAGTCTTCCATTATTGCATCATAAAATATTCATTACAGAGTTGCTTACTCATTAATGTGTGGACAGTGGATAGATGGTAGCTCAGGATTAGGCAAAGGCTTCTTGCTTGATCTATTCTCCTTGCAGGTCTATGCAGTTTCCGTATCTAAATTCAATTTTTCCCAGCTCTTAATTTGTGGAAATTTTTAAGTTCCAAAGGCTCAATCTTGTTTGACTGTGTCCAAGGTATAGATTTCCTAGAACAAAAGTTGATCCCTCAGCCATCACTAAGTTCAGAACTGTATTGTTAAAAGCTTGCTGCTTTGCAACTTCAAGAAAGCAACTGGTGAATAACTAAATCCAGGTTTTCTGGGTGAGTTAAGGATGGTGTTTCTCAATATTACATGCTCGGCACACTCAACGGTATGGAGAGGATGAATTGAAGAGGCTGATTTTTGAATAGTGTGGTGTAAAGCTTGGAAAGGGTTGTTTGCCTGAACTGCGGAATTTCTATTAGTGCAATGAAAATCTTTGTTTTTGTGGGGGTTTGGTGGTGTGGTGAGGGTCTGGCTTCCCATGGAAAGTGGTGACGAGACAGTCTGGAGTTGCTATCAGTATATCAGGCGATTGCTGATCCTTCGAGTTCTTTTCATAAGTCCATCCTTCCTTGACATTGTTTCTGTTGCTGCAATAACTGGGTTATGCTATCTTAATTGATCAAATTGAAACTGTTCTGTAGCTTAGTCAAATAAGTAATTTGGCTTTTCTTGATGTTTTTGAGGGTTCCTGCTTTCACTTTACCTGCTTAGCTGTTTGACTGATGTCAGTTCCTCTCTCTTTATCTTCTTACCTCTTATATCTCTTTCCATTTTTACCCTGTGGGAGATAGATGGTCTTTAAAGTGATCAGCTTGTCATATATGTAGTTGACAAAGTTTCCTGTGATCCTTATTCCTATAGCAATTGTGTAACTTAAATGGCTCTGCAACCAATACATGGGTACTTGGAAATTTATATTAATTTTGAAATTACTGCAAGTAAATAGAACTGGAAAATGGAGAAAAGACATGGTTTTTGCCTTCTCACAATCTCATGTGCATAACAGGGTCAAGCAGCGTGGGTGAAGCCCGAAGTCCCGCAAGTAATCAGTCCTTCCAGGAACGAAGCAGTCAAGAAGCTGTAGGTTCTTCTGGGACAAAGAAAATTGAAAATGCTTGCAGAGCCCTCATACCAGAAATGGAGAGTCTTTCCAAGAAGCTTGATTCTGCAGAAAATAAAGGGAGGGAAATGGGGACCAATGCAATGGAAGATATGCCTTGTGTGTTTACGAAAGGAGATGGCCCTAACGGGAAAAGAGTGGATGGCATTCTGTACAAGTATGGTAAGGGCGAGGAAGTAAGGATAATGTGCGTCTGCCACGGCAGCTTCCTCTCCCCTGCAGAGTTCGTGAAGCATGCAGGCGGCAGTGATGTTGATCACCCTCTCAGGCATATAGTGGTAAACCCTTGTGGTCCGTCCTTTGTATAAGGTAATGCGGTGTTCACGTCATCCCTTAAAGAGAAGTAGGAAAAGGAAAATGAGAGAATTTTAGAAGATAGTTAGATTTTTATTTATTTTTTTGGGGTCCTTGAAACGGAAACTTAATATGAACAACTATTTTTCATCTTCTAGAAAAGTGTTTCAAATATATTTTTTGAGGCTATATGTCATAATTCTTCCCTTATTTTCCAATCTCATTAGCTGAGAATATACGCACAAGATGTAGAGAAGCGGGAAAACAGAAGGTGCGACATAAGTTCAGATCAGCACATGAGCTGTCTCTGCGCGGTGCAGATGATCGATGATAATGGCCTTTCCATTGTCTTTATCAAAGGCACGGCAGCAGATTAATAATCTTTATCGTGGAAATTAATTCGGAAGAACGGATCTAATCCTCCCCAAGGGTTTTTTGTGGTAGCTTCATAATTTTGAAGACTTGCTGTAAGACTAGGATGAAATGACTATTGCCCGATCTCTGCAAAGTTAAGCTGCAATGTTGAAAATAAATCCACGATATAATTGGAAAAGATGAAATGGAAGCCCATGAAGACAAATCTGAATCCATTTGCCTTAATTCTAAAACAAGTGCAGCAATCTATATTAAAGGTGTTCGTATAAGAGATGCAGACATGAATAAACAAGGGCGCAGGACACCAGACACCATAATCAGAATAAGCATCCACAAAATTGTCGATGATTTCTAACAGATTCTTTACAAGTACACTTTAGATGGGACACTTGTTACTCTTGGCAATAATGGTTTCCCTTAACCTAAAGCAAGATGAAAATGTAGACTTGAATACATTCTAATGAAAAACACCACTCTGTTCAATATCAGAGAGATCAGATATGTTTTACAACTGCACATTTTCTATTCTCATGTTATACCTTCTAATGCTAGGATGTACACATATGCACCTTTCACTGTCTTGTTCGACGCTAGGAGGGTTGAATTCTCTTCAATCGTTGAACAACTTGCTTCATTGTAGGCCTGGTCGAGAGGCTGTCAACTGTACATGTCACAGCCAAATGCAGCATATCTACCAGATCGTCATGTGGGCCAGAATCCCATAGTCCTGCAGTGAAGACCTCCTTCGCTTGACCATGTCTCAATAGCATGCAGGCCCAAGAAACAATATTAAAACCATTCTCATGTGAAGAAAATGAAGGATCCAGGGGTTTCTTATCTGATATCAACTCAAGTAGCACCACACCATAGCTGTAAACATCAGCCTTCTCAGAGACACGACAGGTCATAGCATATTCTGGGGCAACATACCCAAATGTTCCAGCTACACCTGTTGTGGCATGGGTTTCAGAGGTTCCCAAAAGCCTAGATAATCCAAAGTCGGACAAGTAAGCATTGAAGTCATTATCCAACAATATGTTATTAGGCTTGACATCACGGTGCAGAACACGAGGAGCGCATTGATCATGAAGATAAGCAAGCGCGCGGGCTACATCCAAAGCAATCTTGTGAAGAATCTTCCAGTTAACCTCTCTTGTCGATCTCTCTTTAATAAAGTCTTCCAAATTACCTCCTGGTAAATAATTATATATGAGGAACATCTCTGTTTCGCTGGCATGGTACCCTATTAAGGTTACAAGATTGGGATGCCTCACCCTCCCAAGGGCCTTTATCTCAGCATGAAATTGTTGAACACCTTGAAACCTCCCAACAGCAAGCCTCTTTATGGCCACCAAGCTTCCTGGAGAAATTTCAGCCTTGTAAGTGGCACCAAAACCTCCATTCCCAATGCAATTACTTGAGTTGAAATTCCCTGTTGCTTGTACAATTTTCTCATATAATAATGGGACACCGATGTCAATGAAAGTGGTAATTTCCTTCGGTTCAGAAACCTGAACCCTGGCATTTGGGATCCGTTTCCTTGTGTAAAAGAAGAGAACAACCAGAGCTAGAAGAACAGAAACAATGGCGGATGCAGATGCTATGGATGCAATCTCAATCGAACTAAATCCAGATTTAGTCTCTGATGGAGAAGTGGCATTACTTATCTGATCCCTGTTGCTGCCTGTTGGATCAGGAGATGGTGAAGATTGGAGGAATCTATGGCATGAGTTAAGATATGGATTTCCAGTGGAATTGCCACAATTTGTCACTTTACCAATCAAGCGAAATGACCGAGACAGGTTATTTAAGGAGACATTCACTGTAGAGAGTGATGCTGCATCAAATAAACCAGGGGGAACCTGTCCTGAGAGATTGTTGTTATCAAGCAGAAGAACAGTTAGGTTTTTCAAAAGCACAAGATCCTGTGGAATCTCACCGGACAGGGAATTTGAAGAAAGCTTTAGCACTTCAAGAGAACGTAACTGCCCCAAGCCAGAAGGGATGGCACCAGTCAGGTTGTTGCCAGACAAGGATATGTGCTTCAAATACTTCAATTGATAGAGTCTAGATGGAATTTGACCCTGCAATCTATTACCACTGAAGTCAAGGGCAATGAGGGATCTCAAATTCCCAAGACTGAGAGGAATGGACCCCGAAATTTCATTGTCAGAGGCATCCAAAAATCTAAGGGATGTGCACATTGCACCAATATTCAATGGAATAGGACCAAATAATTTGTTTTTGCTAACATTAGCAATCATTCCATTTAATTCACCACACTTTCCAAATAAGCTTCCAGGAAATGATCCAGTGAGCTTGTTCCCGGCAGCAAGAAAGGCATAATCTACATGCTTCCCATATCTCTCTGGTGTAACAGGGAGCCAACGGATTCGACCAGTAAAGTTGTTTCCACTGAAATTGTGAATCACTACTAAACTAGCAACAGCAAATGGCAAATGGCTTGCGATGCGAGTTTCACATGCGAAGAATAGTGCATATCCAAATGTTGGGTCATCAATTTGGACAAGATCTGAGTTCAAGGAGGATACACGGGAACACAAACTGTCGTCAAATCTTGGGATAGGACCCGACAACAGGTTGTGACTGACATCAAATACTGTCATACAAGGAACTGGAAGATTCCTATCAAGCTCCCCCTCAACCTATTTGAGCTCAAATCGAGGTAATGTAGCTTCTTGCATCTCTCAAAAACTCCCTTTATTCTTCCATAGAAACCATTTTGAGCTAAGTTCACCATCTCCAAGCTCTCACAATCACCCCAACTGGTTGGCAGCTTCCCTTTCAGAGCTGCCCTTGGTGCCCAAAGTATTCTCAGCTTTGGAAGGGTTGTAACCTTTGCAGGAATAGATCCTTTAAAATGATTATGTTCATCACCAGCAACACGTGACAATCCAACCGATACCTTTCCACTCTTATATCTCTCCTCTGGCCATGTTTCGAAAAGGTTTGAAAGGATAAGAACTGACAACTCAACACAATTTCCAAGCTCAGCAGGGATCACGCCATTAATGAAGTTTCTTGAAATATCTAGAACTTCAAGCCTCCTCAGCTGACCAAACTCGTGAGGAATTACACCCGTCAACATATTCGAAAACAATAAAAGCACCCTTAACTGCCGGCAACTTCCCAATGTGCGCGGAATCCAACCAACTAGGAAATTCCCAGACAGATCAAGATGCTCAAAATACAAACAATTACCTTCAAAACCACCAGGAACAGTTCCATTCAGCTCATTATTAGCTAGATTAAGCTCCCTCAACTTCAAAAAACTACCAAAAAATCCAGGAATAGATCCCTTCAGCCTGTTACCAGCTAAATTCAAAACCTCCATGGCCACACAATTTGACAGCCAAATTGGAATCTCCCCATCAAGTCTGTTAAAACCAAGGTTCAAAACCCTCAACTTCTTTAACCCAACAAACTCATCTGGCAATTTCCCGGTAAACAAATTCCCTTCAAGATCAAGCACTTGTAATTTATCTAAACCCCATATCTCCAAAGGAATTTCCCCACTAAACTCATTATAAGGCAGTGACAAAACTCTAAGCTCGCTGAGTTTTCCAATCAAAGGAGACAACTTCCCGTTTAGTTTCCCATCATAATCAGAGCATGTTCTTTTAGTCCCAAGTGCAAAAAAAGGAAACTTTAAAGACCTTGAACAAGGAAGAGCTTTAGAATTACCTCTGTAGCCATCACCACCAGTGATATTCAGTGAGATAACCCTGGATTTGGAGTTGCACGTAACACCAAACCATGAACAAGGACTGGTCTTGTTGTTGCTGTTGGGGTTCCAGCTTGAGAGAATCCCATAAGGATCAGAAACAGTGGACTTGAATTCCAACAGAATAGATTTATCAGGAAAAACTTCCTTCCCAGAAACAAGAGAGAGAAAACAGAAGAGAAAGAAGAATAAAAGAAGGGTTTTTGGTAACAGATTGCATTTCATTTTCTCAAGAAATGAAGAGAAAATGAAACCAAGAGAGAAGTAAAACCCCACCGAGAAAAAAAAAAAGGCAAACAGGAAGAAAAAAAGGGATCTTTTGTTTTTGGGTTAAGGAAAAACAGTGATTTTTCAAAGACAGAACCGTGTTTTCTTTTTCTGGTTCTGCTCCTAGGTCATGTTCTGCTACTGGCTGGCTAATGGAAGGAAGGAAATTTCTTGGCTTTCTTTATTACATTTTACTAGTTTTTAGCAAGCACGACTTGAGTTTGTTTAAAGTCTACTTTGGGCGGAGGAAGGGACCAGTGGACTTTGCTGGTGTGAGTGGGGTCCGCTACCGGTCAATTAATGCATCAAGCCGTCAACACGTAAGACCGAGCACATCGGCGGGTCCCATGCAATAGCTATTACGTGGGACCCTCCTTCATGTTCCCCGTGGATGATGGCCCTTATTTGGGACTAAACTTAATAATTAGTTCTAAACTTTTAATTTCAAATTTATTTAATTTTTAATTTTTAATTTAATTTGTTTTTTAGTTTTTCATCATAGAAATCAGTCATTAAAATTTATCTGAAGCTCTAAAGAAAAACTGAGACAATTACACAATATATTTTTTTATTTATATTTTACATTTTTAATTTTTAATATATATATATATATATATTTCTTGATTTTAAAAATTTTATTTTAAAAAAATAGATTATATTTTCTTAACGTGAGTCTAAAATATCAGTTTAAAATATATAAAAAATATTTTTTAAAATGATAAATAAAAATAATAAAATAGATTAAATCTAAAAAAAAGTTTTAGAAAATCAAACTTGAAATTAAAAATTTTAAAAATAAAATTTTACATAAATTAAAATTCAAAAGAAGTTGATCGTTTAACCTTATTTGAGTTGTTGCTTAAACTGGTTCATTTAATTTAATAAGGACTATCACAATGATGATTAAAGAAAAAATCCAATCAATCGTTAATTCGTTTGGAAGAAATGTCCTCCTCTCATTAAAAAATAAAAAAATCTATCGTGGTAATAAGAAAAATGCTTTTTTTTTTTTTTTTAAAACAAACTTGGAGCATCCAGAGAAAATCGATATACGTGGATAAGAGAAGAGATAAGCCCTTGTAGATTTCTTTCTATTCTTTTTGGCTTCTTTTCTTGGAATATGCAGGGAGATTCGGCTTGTGGATGATTTTAGAGTATTTTTTAATAATTGTTTAATATTTCGAATCATTCTTCACTTTTAGTTTTAGTTATAAAATTTATTGTTAGTATTTAAAAATATTATCATATATGATAACACCTATTTAATATTATAATCAATATCTTTTATTTTCAATCAAACATTTAATTTTATTCTTTTTTATTACAATTTAACAACAAATGAATTACAATAGTTACATTTACATAATATTTATTGGGTGCTCTAAGGGCCCCAGCTAGCTTTTGCCCATGACAAATATTCAGTTGAAAAGAGTTTTTTTTTTTTTGTTGCTTCGAACTAATTATTAATATTATTATTATTGATCATTATAGGGATTACATGTACATGCTTAAGGGATGAAGTGAAGAAGAACACAATAGAACAGCAAAAGGATGGCGAGGACTTGTGCTCTCATCCAAGTCTATTCCTATAAAATCGAATAAATTTTCCTTAAAAGATTCCTTGCTCGATTTTCCTTTACATATGAAGATATGGTAGTATTAGATTAAATAGATATCTGTTAGTGTTTTAATAGATATGAACGAGGGTGAGATAAGAATGGTGAGTTTGGCGGTCCCATCCGTCACCATGTGAGGCGGAATGGCCACATCATCTCTAACAAATATTTACAGCTAAGAAATTCACTCTTATTTTAGACATAAAGACAGAACAGTTTTGAGTTTAAAACCAGACCCAAAAAGGGGGCGGGGGAGGGGGGGGGAACGAAAAAAAGAGGTTAGTTAAAACTGGATCGGTCAATACATTGAAGACAGATCCAGCAAGTAGGATTCTCTGCAAACCTTAACTGGAGTACCCATGAATCTAGGTGATTATTATTCTTGAAAAGCCAAAGAAGTTTCTTGGCAGGAAGGAAAATTTCAAAAGACCAGCTGGTCCAACTTTAAGTATGCGCTCCACAAAGGTCATCTAATCACAATCAATAACACTCGATGACTGGGTTGGTGCTCAAGTCTTCACATGAAGGCCCATCCTTTTTATGAGGCTGCTTCTTCAATGACAATCAATACTGTTGCCGACTCAACTCAAGGTGCAAAATGTGGGTTAAGCTAAATACAAGGAGGGAGGCTTTGTGTTTATGAATGTGGTACCCTAGTTAGTAGCTACCTATCAATAAGGCACAACTAACTTAAATAAATGATCACACAGCCAATAAATGGTCGGTCTTAGTTGTCCAATTTTTTAAAGCAATAGCATTAATTTTGGGCATTCCAATAATAGATTTTCCACTGCAACTAATATTTACTCACATTGTCTGGAATTTTAACAAGGTTAGGTAGCTCATCAGCTTCTTGCCTTTTGTATCATGCATGATACACGAAGACTTTTAAAATTAAGTTAATCCAATGTTTTTTCGTCAAAAATAACGAACTTATGCACGTCAAATTCACATCACTATTTGTTCTATCTGTTAAAAAAAAAAAAAAAAAGCCTCAATCTTCTCCTTCCTCTCTCTCTCTCTCTCTCTCTCTCCACACACACACACACACACACACACACAAGATAACAATGGCAAAACATCAACTCATAGCCTCTGCTTTCAAAAATCTTCCATCTCCTTTTCCATCTCGATTCAAGCCTTCCCATACTTACTCCACCAAAAAGCCCCCCACCAAATTCTCCTAACTCGAATACTCTCCTGTCAAACCCATCCAATGGAGTGTGGAGCATGGTTATTATAGACAAACAAATTGTTGCTTCAAAGAAGAGGTCAAAAAATCAAAGTAATAGTTCATGGCCAATTTTAAAAAATCAAAACATGCATCCATATGGACACTTGCTTCATTTGATGTCCATCTTGTCTTGGTTAAAGAAGACAAATACTTATTTGCGTTGCAAGTTCCAACTTTTCACCGAAAATGTGTTTGGCGAGATCAAACGATTGTAGAGTATTCGATCAAGATTGGTGATAGGATCATTAGTAGAAAAGCACATGATGGTTGCCCATCATGATCGTAGTATGGACATGATAGGATCACAAAAACTTATTGACTTGTAATGAATTAGAAAGGCAAGGAAAGAGAAGAGGAAGAAGAAGCAACAACAACAACCTTTGAAGGAGACTGATGAAGATGACATTGCTAGGTAGTATTGGTAGTGGTGGTTTAGGTTTTGGTTTTGATGTAGAATTAGGTGTGGATATGCCCATGTATTGTAATCCAACTTATTGGAGATCAAATTAGGGTTTTTTAGGTTTGAAAATCAAGATTGTTAGAAGAAAGACAACCAAAATTAGGAGGGCAAAGAAGGAGGAAACAAAAAAGAGACAACAATAGCAACCTTTGGAGGAGGCTTATTAAGATAATGTTGCTTAGGTAGTATAGGTAGTGGTGGTGTAAGAGGTTTTGGTTTTGGTTTAAAGACGGTGCTTGTGTTTATGGTCTTTTTGTTAGTGGATTCTCACCATTATTAAAATTACTATTGGATGTTTTTTTCATTAACCATGTACTTACATGCCTATTTATGTTATTTCGATTGAAAAATATAGAGTGGACTTATTTTAAAAATTCTAAGTTTAGAGAACTCGAGAACCAATAAAAAAGTTTGAAAACTAAATTTCAAATGATTTAAAGTTAAACGAGTGGTTAGACTTATGAAAATATCATCACAATCGCATTATACTTCTAATATCAACATAATCTAAATGACCACTTCCTCAATCACTTCAAAGAACATTCATGAAAACAAAAATACGACACATGCTTGAAACAATCATCTAATAAATTAAAGATTAACTTACATGTTTTGCTTATATATAATCCGTATACACTTTGAATTATTTTGAATGAAATCTTATTTTATTTATTTTTATGTTGATTGAATCTTTCTACTTTTCATTTTGTTTTGTTATAATCTTTTTATCATCATATTGTTAGTGTCACGATCCCGAGAGTGGGCCATAATAGATGCAAGGATTGAGGGAATCGTGAGGCCTACATCGACCTAAGTAAGCCTTAGATACTAAACTAAAATCCTTAAATCATTATCACCTCAATTGTCATTTCAATTAACATTATCATGACTTAATAAACATTGCTTCAACCTTAATACAATTCATAAGTCCATACTATTCTCATTTCAATAACCAAGATCAATATTCATGATCAAATTCCAATACACCACCCACAACTATAACTACAAAGTTTTTAAAAATACAACAAATCATAACATACATAGATTCTAATAAATTACAAGGAAATAAGTCGCACGACCAAAGCGCTAACTTCACGAAAGGTAGCTAAACGAAAGCAATAGGCAACCCCTCAATATCCCGCAAAACCGAAATAATGAGGGGTGAGCAATCAACAACTTAATAAGTAGACATTATATAACATACTAAGGGAGAAAAATAGATTAAGGATGATAATTTCAAATTCATCTTAACATGCTATACTAGTTTTTCAAAACACATACATATCAAAAACATTTCTTATATCACAAATCAAATATGTCAAAACCATCTCATATCAAATTGTTGAAGCACTTATCATATATATAAATCATATTCAAATGAAATTTCATATATAGGTTTTTATACACTCGTGGGGTAATAACATATCATTGAGTACGAACACCTAAAGGTCACTCCCTCGTAACTAGGTTTTTGTATGTTAGCCGACACATAAGCTAGCACTATACCTCTTCTGCTAGCTGAAACCTCGTATCATCGAGCTCAAAGGCTACCCCTCGACAACTACGTTCCCCAAGGTCTTGAAAATATTTTCGAAAATCGAACATACTTATACATTTTTCAAACCAATATTTTAAATACTATACATGT